GGTACTATCAATCATACTGTGGGCCTTATTTTCACATTCACAATTAAATAATGAAGAAGTTGGACATCTTTTCATTTATTTTTGGCAATTTGGTACCTTCTTTGGTGATGTGCCTGTTCAAATAGGATATTCTACTGCATAGGATATTCTACCGCGTTGTCTACCACCACTGGTTTCCATGCCCCAGCTCACTCCATCTAAGGCCCATCATTCCTTTGCTTTCCTTTTTTATGTTTTTATGTTTTTATTTCCTTTCTTTTGTTAGTACTGCATGGTATGCCTCTTTCCATACTTTTGATATTTCTACATTCTTTTGTTTTAGACATATCTTTTGTAAACAATATTTAGTTGAGTTTTGTATAGCCTGCCAATCTTTGTCTTTAATTAGAGCAAATAATTCCATTTACATGTATTATAATTGTTAATATGTTTGGAATTGAATTTATCATCTTTACTCTTTCCAAAAACTAAATTAAAAAATAACCTTCAAATTTTTCAATTGAATTAACACACTGCCAATTTTAATGCCCTTGCTGTTTATTTTAATTCTACATTTTTTCATCTCACAAGTAAATACTCATTTAGAATTGCCTACATTTCACTACTTTGTTCTTCATTCCTTTTTAAAACTCAACCCTCCTACCTGAAACCATTTTCCTCTAGTTTGGGTCTGCTGTTAGCAAATGTTCTCAGCTTTCATTGGAAAATTTCTTTATTTCACCCTCGATGATGAAAGACATTTTCACTGGGTATAGGATCCTAGGTTGGCAGTTACTCTCTTTCAGCATCGGAGATAGCATTTCACTGTCTCCTAGCTTCCTCTGCCACTGTTGGGAAGTCAGCTCTCATTCCTTGCTCTTTTAAAGGTACAATGTTATATTCTGTGACTGGTTTTTACAGTATTCTCTTTGTTTTGTTTTTTTCTGTTTGGGGATTTGTTATTTTGTTTTGTTTCTTTGTCTGACATGTCACCATGGTGTGTCTAGGAAAGGATTGTTGTTGTTTAACCTGTCTTGAATTCCTATGCTGGAATGTTGTAGTTCTGGAAAAATCCCATTCTCCCTCCAAATAGTGTTCTATCACCTTCCTTCTAGGGCACTGATTAGACATGTTAGATATCTCACTATATTGTCTATTTTATTAATACTATCAGAATCCCATCAGAACAAAGACAACATTCAAACTGGCTGAGATGAGAAAAGTTTAATGAAAGAACTACTTGCCAAGGGTAAAGTTTAATGTGCCTGATAGGGCAGGTCCAGTCGCTTAGGAATAGTACAATAGACAATGCTGAGTCATTACCACCTCTAGACATGAAGGGGCAGGGAGTGGGAGTCCCTCCAGAATTGAGACGGGACGTCTTTATGGAGAAGCCACCTGACGGACACAGCAATCCTTTGGCCACCAGCAGGGAGGGAGCCTGGGGTATACAATAAATACCCTGACTTCACTCCGCTCCCACCTTCTGACCTTCTGCTAATGTTTGCCATTAGCCAAATCAACTGGAAGCCAGAGATCAAGAGAGCCTCTTGATGCAGTCTGTACCAGTCCTGGGGCACAGGGCAGGACCGGGAATGACAGACACTAGATCTGAAGGAGCAAACAGAAGATATCCAGCACAATTTCTTACCTCTCTTATGCGTTCCCATATTTGTGCCCTCAGTGCTGAATTCTGGATAATTCCTCTTGACTATCTTCCAGTTCACTAATCTTCCCTCACCCGTGTCTAATATGATATTAAATTTTTCCATTAGATTTTTTAAATTTCAGATTCGGTATTTTTCATTTCTAAAAGTTCTTTTATTCTTTTTCTAATCTGTATCATTTGTAGATTACTAGTCCCTGGAGATTTTTTTAAGCTTATATTTCATTTCTTTATTTCTAGTCAAATAGTTGTTTTATAATTCATGTCTGATCATTCTAATACCTGAGTTGCTGTCAGGTATATGTTATCTGTTGTTCTTGCTGTGTGTCACCTATGGAGTCTTGCTTCTTTGCGTGTCTGATTATATTTGTTTATGTACTGGATGTCGTTTGGAGGGAAAAGTAGGAATAATTTGAGGCCTATAACAAAGATATTTTTCTCCACAGGGAATTTGCATTTGCCTCTGCCATCACCAAGGACCCTTCAGCCCAAGACTACCTTAAGCCAAATCCAATGCCTGAGTTTCCCCGGATGCCCCCAGGCAATTCAAACCTGGCTGGAATCCACCTGGGCTTTTTCACATCCACTTTAGCATCCCCCTGGGAGTGGCAGAGGGTCTCCTATTAGATTAACCACCTTGTGCAGTCTCTGAGCTTCAGTGTCTAACCCTTCATCCCATAAGGCTGTCAAAACAAAGGATCTAATTTCTAGGATTGTCAAATGCCCTCAAGGTATCAGTAGTTTTCCTTCCCCTACCTCTCAAGATCATCATATTCCCCACCCACTGGCCTTTCTCCAGCCTTTTCAGTGGAGGAGCCAATTCCAGTAACTTAGCGCACTGTTACTGGAAGACAAGAGTCTTCCCATTTCTTTATTTTGTAACAGATTTATTGCAATACAATTCACATATTATACAATTTGCCCATTTAAATCATATAATTCAATGATTTTAGTATATTACTTTATTAACTTTTTATTTGTAGTAAAATATATGTAACATAAAACTTGCCATTTCTACCACTTTTAAATGTACAATTCAGTGGTATTAATTATATTTGCAATTATTGCACAACTGTCACCACTATCTAATTCTAAAACTTTTTATGACTTCAAGCAGAAACTCTGTAACCATTAAACAATAACTCCCCATGCTGCCCTCCCCACAGCCCCTGGTCACCTCTAATTCACTTTTGTCCTTATGAATTTGCCTCTTCCAGATATTTCGTGTAAGTGGAATCATATAATATTTGTCCTTTTGGGTCTGGATTCTTTCCCTTGGCATAATGTCCCAAGGTTCATCCATGCTGTAGCGTGTATCAGAACTTCATTCCTTTTTACAGCTGAATAACATTCCATTGTATGTCTAGACAACATTTTGTTTCTCCATTTATCTGTTGATGGACACCTGGGTTGTTTCCACCGTTTGGCCATTGTGAATAACACTGCTGTCAACATGGGCATACAAGTGTATGTTAGAGTCCCTTCTCTCAATTATTTTGGGTGTATACCTAGGAGTGAAGTTGTTGGGCCATATGGTAGTGCTATGTTTAGCTTTCTCAGGAACTGCCATACCATTTTCCATAGCAGCTGCACCATTTTACATTCCCACCAGCAATGTATGAGGTTTCAGTTTCTCCACATCCTCGCCAACACTTGTTATTTTTCATTTTTGGACTGCAGCCATCCTAGTAGGTGTGAAACGACATATTGTGGTTTTGATTTGCATTTCCCTGATGACGAATGATGTTGAGCATCTTTTCATGTGCTTTTTGGCCATTTGTATATCTTTTTTGGAGAAATGTCTATTTAAGCCCTTTCTACATTTTTGAATTGGGTTGTTTGTCTTTTTGTTGTGAGTTGTGGCTCGCATTCCTTCGTAAGCCCACTTGGCTCAGATTGTCTCTACTGCCGCTGCAATAAAACTGTTCTCGTCAAGGTCACCGGCACCCTCACGTTGCCAAGTCTAATGGGCAGTTCTCTGTTCCCACCAAACGTGACCTTGTCAGCAGAATTTGACTCAGCCAATTACCCTCTCCTCCTGAAGCCCACTCCCCACCCTCTCCCACTACCTCTCTGGCCTCTCCTGCTCAGTCTCCTGTGCTGCCTTCTCCTTATCTTGCTATTTCTTGGCCCTGAGGGGTTAAATGACTTGCCCAAGGTCACACGGCAGCAAGGGCATAGTGGGGATTTGAGCCCAGGCCCTTCTACACCAAAGACCCACTCTTCACAGGTGGGTGGGGACTATACTTTGGAATCTCCTGGAGTCTCCCAAGCTGTTGTGCCCACCCAGCCAAGGGTCAAACAGGCCTGGAATGGCTTCTCCAGGGCCTTAAGGGTGGTCCTCCTTGAGTCTGTCTTAAAGCAGGGGTGGGGTTCATTCAGCCACCCCACTACAGCCCTCCCAGTCACTGCCCCATCACTCCAGGATCTCTTATGCCCCTCAAGCCCCGTGTACCCAACACTCAGGCCCAAAGACCATTTAGGGCAGAAAATGGCCATGATGGGCAGCCTTGCTGTCCCCTGCTCCCTCAGGTCTCCAAGGGTCATTCTTGTGGACCAGGTGGAAAGGCCACAGCCCTGCACAGGCCTGGCCTCTAGTCATAAGGCAGGGCCTTGATCGGGGCAAGCCTTCCAGTCCTCAATCTCCAGATCTGCAAAATGGGCAGAAGGACACTGTACAAACTGCAAGCTCTGTGCACATACTGTCATGACCCTTAACTTGAAGCAGGTTGGGCTGGAGGACCCAGACCCCAGCAAACCCAGGACTAGCAGGGAATGGTCAAGGAAGGCTTCCAGAAGGAGGTGACTGTGGTGAGCCCTAAAGGCTGAGTGGAAATTAGTCAGGGAATGCTCCAAGCACAAGCCCTGCAGGTGTGGGGGCCCAGAGGCAGGAGAGGTGGAAAAGTCAGGCAGAGCTGGAGGCCAGAGAGCCCCAGGTCAGAGGTGATCAGATGGCTGGGGCTCTGGCCGCAGTGCCTGGGAGCCATGGAAGGTGAGAAGCAGTCTAGCAGTGCGAACACAGGGCCAGATAGGCATCTCTAACTTGGGTGAAGAGGTGGAGGGGAGACCCTGGAACTGGGGAGACCCAGTAAGAAGCTGCTGTGGATGAGAGACACACTTAGGGACCAGGCCACTCCTGTCCAGCCCCACCCCTCATGTCCCTTCCACCAGCCCACAGTGCTCCTGTCACCTCTCGGCCCCTGCCCTATCAGGGTCCAGCTCAGGGCCTAGCCCAGCCTCCACCGTGAACTCCATGCTCCCAGCACCAAGCCCTGGTCACAGTGGCCTGCTGGCATGGCCGAGCCGGGCCAGCCTGAGCTGCAGCCCTCCTCTCACAGCCCCTCTCTGCCCACAGCCATGCCTTCGAGCTGTGGAAGGCCCTGGGGACTGAGCAGCCGCTGAGCCACCTGGTGCTGGCCATGCTGCTGACCTGGCTGCACCATCGGCCCCTGCCTACCGGTGCCAGTGACAGTGGCCCCAAGGAGAAGCCCTACCTGCGCTCGCTGGCCGTGAGTCTCCGCTGCCACCCCTGGATCTCAGGCGACTTCAGGCAGACACTGGTGACACCTTGAGCACCAACTATGTGGCAGGCTACAGAAGCCCAGCCCAGCCCCAGCCTGGAGGGAAGGGCCCTGGGGCAGCCCAGCCCCCATTTCCTGGCCAAGGCTCCGCCCTGTCTGTGAATCAGGACAGTGTGTCAGTCCTCCTTGGCTCAGTCTTGTGTTGTGTGCCAGGCCTCGGTGGGAGGCTCAGGTAGAGAGGAAGGGAGAGACTCGAAGCCCTGCCCCCCATGCCTGGGCTCTGGAGTCAGTAGATTCTTGAGGAATCTTAAGGGCTGCCTCCTGCAGCCCCACCTCCTGCAGGAACCCCTGCCCCGCTTACCCCATAGGCCCAGCCCTGCTTGCACACCCCCAGAAGCAGGGCACTTACCTCCTAACACAGCCACATCTGTCCCCCTTGGCTGGACTCTGGAAGCAGCTGTGCTCCCAACCCTATCTGGAACTTTCCAGGCCGAGTCCCTGCCCCAAAAGGCCCAGAGCTCACAGCTGCTCCCCACCTGGAGCCCCCCAGACAGGCTGCTGCCTGCAGCAGGGTGTGGTGATGACTGAATAATGGCAGCAAGAGAGAGAGTCCCTGCCCCAGCCCCTAGCCCAGCAGAGCAGTCCAGGAGTCAGACCAACCCAGGTCGCAGCAGGGTGGCCCTCCCTGCAGCCCACCATGCCCCCACCCCCAGCCCTCCCCTAGTCATCGCTGCTCAGTGCTGTTCCACACCCAGAGAACATGCTAGACTGAAGGTGGCTGCCGCACTGCAAGCCTTGGGGCTGGAGGCTGCTGTGAGCAGACTCTGCCTTCCAGGACACTGCTGTGTGCCAGGCACAGAGCACAGGATACAGTGGGGACCAGCTGGACCTCACCTTCAGGGTGACAGAGTGGAGGGGCAAGACACCAAGCACCAGGTGCCTCAGACAGTAGCTAAGTGCAAAGAGCAGATGGCAGGGTCCCTGGGTCATGGTGGGAGGTCTGCAGGGGTATGAGGCGAGCAGCATCCCAAGCAGACAGCAGGGAGGAGGCGGGCTGTGGAGCAGCAAGGAGACCACAGTGGCAGGTCTGGAGTGCTGGAGAGGGCCAGGCTGAGTTTGCAGAGGTGGCAAATGCCGGGCCCTGAATCGGGGGGACTTCATCTGGGCACTCGACTTGGGTTTTGTGGGACAGTGAAACAGCACTCCCTGCCCCTTGGTCCCTCGGGCTTGGGAGCCCCATCCCCGCCCCTTCTGCCCCCAACAGGCAATGAACACGCTGCACGAGATGCAGTTCGCCCGAGAGTTCAAGGACGCCGTGCAGGAGGCCTACCCCAAGCTCTTCCTGGCCTTCCTCACCCAGATGCACTACATCTTGGAGCTGAACCTGCCCAAGGAGCCCCAGCCCAGGCAGCAGGCCCAGGGGACGGCCACACCCAGCCCCCTGAGGTAAGACCAGATTGCCCAGGACAAAGATGGTGTGTTAGCCTTTTAGGGCTGAGTGACAATACCACAAATGGGTGGCTTAAAACCACAGGAACGTATTGCCTCACGGTTCCTGAAGCCTAAGTCTGAAGTCAAGATGGCAGCAGGACCACGCTCCTCCTAACCCTGCAGGGGAGGAGCCTCTTGGCTTCTTCCTGCTTCTAGTATCTCCCAGAAGGTGCAACACCTGCTAGGCATCTCCCAGCAGTCCTGGGTATTCCTTGGCATGAAGCTGCGTCACTCTGACTCTGCCCCATTGTCACCTGACTTTCTCCCTTGTGTACCTGTGTCTAAATTACCCCTTTTCATCAGGACACTGGTCACTGGTCGCTGGATTAGGACCCACCCTAATGACCTTGTCTTACCTTGATGACATCTGCAAAAACCTTATTACCAAATAAGGTCACATTCACAGGTACCTGTGGTTGACTTAGACATGTTCTTTCTACGGGGGACACAGTTCAACCCACAACAGTCACGATCCCAAACACCATCCAGGGTCAGGGCACAGTCAGTGCCCACAGGGCAGGTGTGTCCCATCCACTCATCACCTGAGGGCACTTACAGCAGAGACTGTCACAGCCATACAGGGACCACACAGAGACAGCACTTACCGAGAGTAGCCACACAGTGCACCACGTTACCCCAGCGTGCTCTTTGTAAGGATTCTGGAGATGAATGTCATCTTCCCATTTTACAGATGAGGCAATTGAGGCTGAGAGAGGGTCAGAGGCTTCCCCTGAGCCACGCAGCATGTCCATGTGGAAGTGGCCTAGACAGCAAGGCCCCACCAGGCCATCACTCACACCCTAGGGACAGACAGACTTCCAGGTCCCCTTGGACATTTCACTGGCCCCTGGCATGTGTTTGTCTGGATGTCATGGTCTGTCACCCGCCCCAGCCTGCCATATTCAGGCTGCAGTAGGGTTAACTGCCTTCATCTTCCCTCTGCACCAGGTCGTATTTCCAGAAATCCAATAAGCAAGTCTTTTAAAACCACTGGGGCCAACTCTTTTCATTTGTTTGTATTATGATGTGCTTCACGCAATTTGTCAGTTTTAACAGCTCTCCCCAAGGCAAGTGACTAAAAAAAAGTCACTTCTTCTCCTCTTTCCCCTGAATTCAAATGTGCATATAAAGTTCCTTTTTTATTCAGATCAACCATGCAAAATGCATGAATCTTCCCTAATAAGCTAATAAACGTTCTCCGCCCAGGGCATGGGAGGGTTGGGAGAAAGCAGTGCTGAAGTCCTCCTCCGTGCTGCTCCCCCTCCTGGCTGCTCTTCCCCAGGGACTCTGCCTCCCCCAGGACTCTGCTCACCTGTGAGCTTGCTGCGGCCTCCAGAGCCACCCCAAGACAGCAGCCGCATCAGTGGCCTTCCCGTGGCCCCGGGCTCTCTTCTCCCCACTGCACCATCACCATATAACATCTGTTGTCTGCATTTTCCCTGGCCTACTCCCTGCACCCCACAGATCGGAAGGTGCTGGGGAGCAAGGACATCTTTCTGTCTCTCCTGGGTTTCCCCAGGCAGCAGGGGCGTCTGTCTGTGTCTCTCAGGCTCACCCATGGAGCGGGGGCGTCTGTCTGTCTCTTCCGGGTTCCCCCATGGAGCGGGGGCATCTGTCTGTGTCTCTCGGGCTCCCCCATGCAGCAAGGGCATCTGTCTGTCTCTTCTGGGCCTGTGAGTAGCTTTCTGCCCAGGCCATGTGTTCCTCTGCACCCGCCCCTGCCTTCCCGCCACCTGGGGGCAGGTCCTCCCAGCACTTAGGCTCCACAACAGCCACAAAAGGAGACACTCTCTCCAGGGCATGGTCCACTGCCTCTGGTTGGCCCACCTCAGTCACATGCCCACCCGTGAACCAATCACCTTGCCCACAGGGGCCTGTAAGGCTCTGATTGGCCAGGCCTGGCTCCCACGCCCTCCCTGGAGCTGCCTGGGGGCTGTGGAGGGCCACCCCCCAGGCGCTGGGAGGTGACAGGGGCTGCCAGCAGTCAGGGGCAGTGGGGAGGCTGGGGCCTGCCGGGCGGCATCACCCAGGTGCGTGGCGGTGGCCCAGGGCCTGGGGCCGTGTGCCAGGCTGTTGTGACACCATCGAGGGGCCAAGGGGATCGGCCCCCCACTGCTGAGCAGACCACTGTCTCTGTGCCCCCAGCAGGGTGGGGCTGGCACAGGGCAGGGGCAGCCAGGCAAGTCTCGAGGTGTGGTGGGACTAGTCCTGGGCGTCTCAGGATCCTGATGTCCCCCTCAGCTGGGCTGGCCCCTGGGACCAGCGAGTGGGGTTTGGGCAGCGCATCCATCCCCCAGTGGGGCTCCAATGGCGCTGCCAGCCCTGCCTGTGGGGCCCTCCCTCCCTTGGCCCCTGTCACTAGCAAAGCCCTTTTCCTCAGAGAGGTGACCCTCAGGGATCTGTTCTCAGCTGGGTCTTCCTCCAGCCAATCTCCATCCTGCCTCGGAAAGGACTTCTTGTTCTCTCACTTCATCCGTTGTGGGCTGACACTCTCTAATTCTCATGCGGCACCTCATTTTCCTTTATTTCAAAGGCATTCCTCATCCTCACCCTCAGGTCATCTTCAGTTCCCTCTGTTCCCAGGCCAAGGGGCAAAGGCTTGTGATAGAAAGAGGAAGAGGGGCCTCACACCCATTAGGATGGTGACTATCAAAAAAAGGGAAAATAACAAATGTTGGCGAGGATGCAGGAAACTTAAGCCCTTGTGCACTGCTAGCGGGAATGTAAAATGGTCCAGCTGCTGTGGAAGATAGTATGGAGGTTCCTAAAATAATTAAATATGGAATTACCATATGACCCAATAATTCCACTTCTGGATTTATGCTCAAAAAAATTGAAAACAGGCACCTGGAACAGATATTTGCACACCCATGTTCATAGCAGCATTATTTACAGTAGCCAAAGGGTAGAAACAACCCAAGTGTCCACCAATGAATGACTGGATGAACGAAATGTGGTGTGTACATACAATGTAACATTATTCAGCCTTAAAGAGCAAGGAAATTCTGACACATGCTACAGCATGGATGAACCTGGGGAACATGACAAGTGAAATAAGCCAGTCACAAAAGAGCAAAGACTGTATGATTCCATTTATATGAGGTCTCTAGAGCAGTCAAATTCATACAGACAGAAAGTATAATGGAATGGTGAGTGCCAGGGGAGGAGAGAATGGGGATTAGTGTTTAAGGGGGTTCAGCTTAGGAAGACAAAATAGTTGTCAAGAGGGATGGTAGTGATGTTTGCTTAGTATTATGAATGTGCTCAATGCTGATGAACTGTACACTTAAAATGGTCACTTGAATGAGATGTATATTTTACCATAGTTAAAAATGAAAGTAAAATAAGAAGAGGAGATAGTGGCAGGCACGGGGAAGAGGATTGGGGAGGTGGGAGGCTGGGGTCAGAGAGCAAATGGGCTTCCCTGTCTCTTAGGAGCCTTTGCCCTCTCTGGGGCCAGGCTGGGGCCAGGGGCTTGGATGAGTATAGGGCAGCATCACTGGGATGCAGAGTGTCCAAAGAGACTGATGGTCCTGACACGGCTGGGCGTGGACCTGAGGAGCTCCATCCGCATCGGTCTCAGGGCTGCGATTTCAGGAGACAAGGGTCCTACGCTGGGGGTGGCTTTAGGTTTTAGGGACCTGCCAGGGGTGTGGTTCACCCCAGGAGTTGGGCAGGGAGTTTCAAGAATGCTCAAATCAGCTGATCGTTAACTTCCCAGAGCCCTGCTGTGGCTGCAGGGACAAGGCAATCATGGAGGGCGAGGAATCCTGGGGCCCCAGGAACAGAGCGGCCAGAGTCCTCACAGAGCGAGCAGAATGCCTCGCCCCCCAAGGCCTCTTCTCCTGAAAACCATCATCGCTTTGTGGCTAAGCCCAGTGACCTGGAAAATGCTGCCTCTTTTTATGGCACAGCTTGGTGGGAGAGGACGAGCCAGCTGGCATTTGGATGGACACCATCAGGGACTTTCACAAAATGGCATTTCATCTTCTGACACTCCAGTTTTGCAAGTCTGCTTGCCTGGTCCAAGCTGGCAGCCCTGTTCCAGGGCATGCTGACACATCCAGGGCAGGGCGCCCCCAGCAACAGGCAAGGGTGGCTGGAACGGTGACAGGCCAGAAAGCCCGGGCATGCTTGCGTCTCCCAGGCCTGTATTCTGAGGCTTTCTACCTGTGTCCCAGCACGGCGCTCAGTGCCTGGGGCAGCCCTGTACCTGTGACGGTGACATTGATGTTTCGGTTTGGAGCCAGGGCCCAGCTTGACCCCACTTCTGTGCCTTTGATCAGGCTGTGTGACAGAACCTGTCCCCTCCCTAGACTGCTCCTCTGTGGCAGTGGAGTGGCATAGAGAGCCACCTGAGATGGGGCAGGTGAGCACCTCCCACAGCTACGCCACGCGCCATCTGCCGTGTTCTTTCTCCATCACACCCATGGGCGGCCAGTGCAGCAGGGTTACTCCGTGTCCTCTGAGAACACTGGGGCCTGTCCCAGGGGTGGCATATGAACCCTTCTCTGGGTTTCCTGAATGCCATACACCCCCGGCCCCTCTTCCCTCCACAGCTGCCCCCTCTGCATTCCTCGCTGTGACTTAAGTGTCATCTCCTGAGGCCCAGCCCGACCCTCTGCACCTAATGACTTGGGAGACCCCCAGTCCCCAGGCAGCTTCACAGCTCTCCCCCCAGCCCTGTCCTCCGAGCTCCAGCCATGTAAATCCAGCCTCGGTGCAAGTGCTGTCTCCTCTAAGATGCTCCGAAGGCACCTCCCACTCGCTGTGTGCCAAAACCACGGCGAGCCCCTCCACGACGCCTAGTCCCTCCTCTCCCTCGTAGGGCACCCCTCTGGTGTCTCGCCCAAGCAAGGCCTGGGGTCTGGGTGGGCTCATGCTACCTCCCCATGCCCAGGACAGCACCCCCCATGTCCTGGGCCCCTATATGCCATGTTGAACGAGGGCAGGCATGAGCCAGCCCCGGGGAAGCCTCAGGATGTCAGGCACTGGAGCCAGGGCAGGAGCCAAAAGGCGCCTTGCTATCTAGGGCACTGGGTGTCCTTCCCACGGACAGTGGGCCCAGGTGGCCGCTCATGGCCCTGAACAGGCCCTGACCCCCTCTGCTTGGCCGCAGCACGTCGCTGGAGGCACTGAAGAGCCTGCTGTCCACCACAGGGCACTGGCACGATTTCGCCCATCTGGAGCTGCAGGGCGCCTGGGAGCTCTTCGCCACCATCCACACCTACCCGAAGGGTGTGGGCCTCCTCGCCAGGTATGAGTGGGCTGAGGGCAGGTGGGGAGATCCTGGGGGGTGGTGATGGACCGAAGTGATGGGGCCTGGGGCTCTGGAGCCACTTGCAGCCCCAGGGCCTGTGAGCGTGACCCTTCAGACTCACGATTGCACACAGCAGCCTTCTGGCACGGGAAGGCACTTGCCCCCTATGCCTGGGCACACTGCCTCGGAGCCTGTGGGCGCAGGTGTCTTTACCCAGTCCCCACCCTGGCCTGGACCTCCTGGGGACAAGCGCTGTACCTGCCTCTCTGTCTCCCCCATGTCCAGCCCAGGCCTGGCACGAAGTGCCAAGGGGCACAGGAACAGGTTCTAAGAATCGCCCACCCACATCAGGACACTCCTGGCCACTTGGCCCCCTAGGTTGGGTAGTAGCAAGGGTGTGGGCTCAGGCAGTGACCACAGCCCAGGCCCTGTCCTCCAGGGCCATGGTGCAGAACCACTGCAAGCAGATCAAGGCAGTGCTCAGCCAGCTGCTGTCCAGCCTGCAGAAGAGCCATCAGGAGCGGGAGAGGAAGGCAGCCATGCTCATCCTCACTGAGGTAGGGGTGCGGGTGGGCCTAAGCCGCCATCCTCCAGCCTGAACCAACAGCTGACCTCACCCTGAGTGGGGTGGGGGCTGCCCAGGCAGACCTTTCACAGCCCTGCCTTCCCGCTCCCAGCTCTGCAGGGGTGTCTGCAGTCTGGGGCTCTTGGTTTGCCCCCCACTTCTCAGGACCCCTCAGCCTGCAGCCTCAGGGGACCTGTGTCTCCACTTCCTCCCTCGCTGCATGACCACTACAGAGCTGAAGGGGCACTATAGACTCAGTCAGACCCAGGCTCAAACTTCAGTCCTGTCCTGCCCTTGTGTGATCCCGGGGGTAGCAGGAAAAGGATGGTCAGAGCCCAGCACGCTAGGGCGTGGCCAACTTTGCAGCTTTGAGCTCTGGGCAGTGGCAGGGCTGAAGGCAAGGTGTGTCCCTTCCAAACTGACCAGTCAGGGGAACCCAAGTCAAAGCCTCATGCTGGCTCCCACCCCTCCAGCAGGTTGCCTAGGCCACCCTCCAGGGGCTGTTTCCCCAGGTGTCCCATGAGCCAGGCTGTTGACATACGTTGGCCCCAGCCTTGCTGTGTGACCTTAGGCAAGGTCCATTCCCTTTCTGGGCCTCAGTTGCCCCAGATGTACACTGAAGGGTTGAACCAAGTAGGTTTCAAATTCCTGTTAACCAAGATATCCAGAGGGTGCTGAGCAACCACTCTCCCCAAACCTCCACCCAGACCCTGGTCCCAGAGCCCCACCCCTCGGCCCAGATACAGGCTCCCCAGAAAAGGGTGCTGAGCTTAACGGCCTGCCCTCCTGGGGGCTGCCCCAGTTCCTCTACAGCCCTGCCCTGCTGGAGGTCCTCCCCAAACAGGCTGCCCTGACTGTGCTGGGCCGAGGCCTCAGGGACCCCAGCCCCGAGGTCCGCGTGTTGAGCCTGCAGGGCCTGGGGAACATCCTCTTCCAGCCGGAGAAGGTAAGGACCACAAGGGCTCTGTGGCCGGCGCTCCCCACCCAACAGAGCAGCCAGGTGCAGCAGGTGCAGACAAGGCCCTCTGGGCTGGAACCCCAGCTCTGTCACTACTTCCAGTAGTGTAGATTGGGTCACTGACTCCACTTCTCTGAGCCTCAGTTTCCTCAACTATAGAATGCAGCAGGTTATGGGAAGGGTGGAACTTTCTATTCCCTGGGGACAGAGTCTCCTCTATCCCCAGGAGAGAGGCAAATCCTACTACAGACTTCCAGGTGTTGCTGAGGAGCTGGCCAGGTGGCTCCCAAGCCTGGCCCAGAGAGAACGTCCTCTGAGAATCCTATGGACCCCCCCACAAGCCGTTGTTGACTTACCTCTCCATTCCCAACCAATTCCACCCCATCACCATAATGACCCACACCACATGATGAACAGCTGGGGGTGAAGGCCTGTGAGGCTGCTTTTGGGGGATCTTGCCTTAGACCATCCACAGCCCTGATTCAGTCCATAGAATTCCAGACATGGCCCTTGCTGTGGGCTCCAGGGCCCCATGCAATGGTCAGGAGCCCAGATCTGGACCAGTCCCCACTCTGGCACCTTCTAGCTGGCAGGTTTTCCAGCTCTCTGGGCCTCAGGGTGCATATCTATGAAGTGGGAGTGGATAGTATCAGCCTCGTGGTAGTCAGGTCATGGGTGCTTTGCTACAGCCAATCCCCGGAACATGGCCAGCCCTCCAGCCATTTGCTCACGAGCAGCAGTGGCAGCGGCAACCTTTCGTGCCCAGCACCTGGTGGGTCCTGCCAGGGGCTAACTCCACAATAAAAGGCCAAGTGAGAGACAGAGATTTTCTCATCTAGTCAGGAAGTATGGTGCCTTCAGCTCCTGTCATCCACACCAGGAATTGTTTTAAGACCCCAGAGGAAGGTGACATGCTCAGTCCCCATTATCTTGCTGTTGGAGGAGGCTGTTATGAACATAAAGGTTTTCAGGGCTTGGGGGGCAAAGTGTGATCATAGGAAGGCCACGAAAAGGACAGTTTCCAAAGAAATCCCAAAGCCATTTGCCCATCAGCCTAGTTCATGCCAATTCTGTTTGACTCACAGGTCTCCAAATGGTTAAAAGGAGAGCACCACTATGGCCACAGCCAGCAAAACCCTTTGCAATACACGTGATGCATAGTAGGTGCTTAATCACGGGGGATGGATGCCAGATACCACTTTCTCATTGATCTGTCCATCCATCCTTCCACCCATCCACCCATCCACCCTCATCCTTCCCTCCACCCATCTACCCATCCACTCCCCATCTATCCCTCCACCCATCCACTCCCCATCCATCCCTCCACCCATCCACCCATCCACTCTCATCCATCCCTCCACCCATCCACTCCCCATCCATCCACCCATCCACCCATCCACTCCCCATCCTTCCACACATCTACCTATCCACTCCCCATCCATCCCTCCACCCATCCACTCCCCATCCATCCCTCCACCCATCCACTCCCCATCCATCCCTCCACCCATCCACTCCCCATCCATCCCTCCACCCATCCACTGCCCCATCTATCCCTCCACCCAACCACCCAACCACCTACCCATCCATCCCTCCACCCATCCACTTGTTCCTTGGGTCCTGCATCTATGAATCATTCTTTCATTATCTCTTTTTTTATTCTTTATAATTTATTCATTCAGTCAGTCAACCAGTTATTCACATGTTAGCTCCCTCCTTCATTCACTCATTCATTCAGTGGTCAGTTATCTCTACATCTTCCTCTAGCTGTTGTCCCAGGCAGGGAGATGATCTAGGCAGTTTCCATGTGCCTCCTCTGTCCCCTGCCCTGAGAAGGGCTCTGTGGGAAATGGCAAAGGCCGACAAGGGCTCTGCTAGACCAGGAGGGCCGGGTCTGGGGAAGGGGGTGTGGTTCCCTGGTCAGCAGGCCAGAGAAAATAGAGCCAAGAGCACAGCCTGTCCCGGAGGCCTGCTGGTGTGGGGTCGAGGGGCTGTACCAGGCAGGGATGGAGCAGCTAGCCTGATCCACCTGAGCAGACACACACGATTTTGTGCCTTTTTAGGTCCTTTTCTATCCCCTTCCACTAGAATTCTGTCCTGCCTGTCTTGTCCCCGGGCAAAACCCTCATCCTAGCATACTGGCTGCCCCCATATATGCTCAGAAAATGTGTATTGCTGTTGAATGACTCACTTGCTGAAAACGAATTTAGTATTTTAAAACCAAACAGAGCTTAGGAAGCCAATAAAATTATTTTAAACTTGTTTAAAAGTTGTAAAAAATCACCCAGGTCTGCACACAAGTCATGGCTAAGGGGCCCAATGGCAGTAAGCATCTATTTGCCAACACATTGCTTTCTGACAATTTATCTAGCAAATTTAGGAATGCACTGCCAACAAGTGGAGCACACAAAATTGGCTGGAAATGAATTCAAATTTTTTTTTATAAAAAGAAGCAAAGTGGTCAGGCCTAGTGGCTCACGCCTGTAATCCTAGCACTCTGGGAGGCCGAGGCGGGCAGATTGCTCGAGGTTAGGAGTTCGAAACCAGCCTGAGCAAGAGCAAGACCCTATCTCTACTATAATAGAAAGAAATTAATTGGACAACTAACATATATATAGAAAAAATCAGCCGGGCATGGTGGTGCATGCCTGTAGTCCCAGCTACTCAGGAGGCTGAGGCAGGAGGATCACTTGAGCCCTGGAGTTTGAGGTTGCTGTGAGCTAGGCTGACGCCACAGCACTCACTCTAGCCTGGGCAACAAAGTGAGACTCTGTCTCAAAAAAAAAAAAAAGAAGCAAAGTGTAAAAATGGAGCAGAATGGTCATTTGTAACATAAAAGGTCTGGAGCCACCACCTGGTGCACACAAAGTCCCCGTCATGGGAGAAACCAGTGACTTCAGTATGGGCTATTCGACCAACTTTGTCCGGTCCCTTCCCCAGACTCCACCTGACCCGTAGCCAGGCTGGGACTGGGGGAGGGGAGGGAAGGATGGAGGTGGAGAAAGGGAAGGGCGGCCCAGGGCTTGGTGAAGGAAGGAACTGGGACTCAACTAGTGTTGAGGTCTCTTGTGCACCCATCTTTCTGTCTCAACCCCAGGAAGACCCCAGAGGGCTCAGAGAGGGGAAGCCCTGTGCAGGCCATGAGGCTGGGGGGGCGGGGAGCACAGTGCCCCATGGTGAGCAGAGAGGGCCAGACCCACAGCTCCGGGTCACCCAGGGCAGGCGTGGGGTGAGCAGGAGGACAACGGTGGGTCAGGGATGCAGGGCCCCTGGGCAGGCCCTGGCCCGCAGTGGCCGCAACAGGGCCAGTGGGGCCTGGCTCCTCCCCACCACCACCCCCTCCCACCGCCCCCAGGGAAACCTGCTCCGAGGGCAGCTGCCATTCTTCTTCGAAGGATTCTTCCAGAACAGTGAGACAGTGATCGTGCGAATCATGAATACCGTGTCAGACATGCTGCACTGCCTGGGCTCGCAAGGTGCAGGTGCCCAGAGCCTCGGCGTCGCCATCAACGCCCGCTCATTCTTCGATGACGTGAGCGCACCGGGAGCCTTCCTGCTCAAACCCTCCCTGCACCCGCCACGCACACCCCCTTCCTCCTTCCTCCACCGCCGGGAGCCCCTCCCCCACCCCCACTGCCTTCTAGCTATGGCCCGGAGGCCGAGGCCGGATGGCACCTGGGTGTGCGCCGGGCAGAGGTGGACCCGGTATGCCCGGAGTCACCTGGGGCCTCCCCCCCTTCTCCACGGGGTGAACGAGTGTCAGGGTTCACTCTCTCCGGCCTCACCGGTCCTACAGCTGACTGCCCAGAATTCTGAACTTTATGACATGTCATCGTGTTTTCCCTTCACTGGGAAATCAGGGGGATAAGTCCACCCCTCAGCTGCACCCATGGCGCTTGGGTGTCAGGATGTGATTGTGGGTATGAGAGAGTCCTTGAGGAAGCTGGAACCTGGCCCTGCCAGCCCTGACTTAGGGGAGGGGAGGCCCTGCCCTGGGACCCCCAGGCCCCACCATGAGGTGTGGGGTCCCGAGTTGGGTGACATCTGGGTCAAACCCCTAAGCAAGTTTGACTGTGGCTCTGAGCCCTTGCCTTGCAGGAGCGGGACAAGATTCGGGCGGCAGCCATGGCACTGTTTGGAGACCTGGTGGCTGCGATGACAGACGGGGAGCTGAGCAGCCTGCGCACCCAGGTGCACCTGAGCATGGTGCCCTTGCTCCTGCACCTGAAGGACCAATGCCCAGCTGTCGCCATGGTCAGTGCCCACCTGCAGGCAAGACGGCCTGGCAGGCCTTTGCCTTGGCCAGGGCTGGGGCCCACAGGTGGCCAGGGACTGGGCAGGCAGATGGCAGTAGGGCCACCTGAGCATGAGGGGTGCTCCACAGGGCAGCAGGTGGGCAGACAGAGGGTCTGGCCACCAGCACCCTCTCCCAGACCACAGTCAGTCTGCTCTCTCCCTGTGCACACACATACACACACACGTGTACACACGTGTGCACGCACATACACAGCAAGGTTGTACTGTCTGTGTAGGCAGGACCTGGTCTGTTCTGCTCACTGCTGTGTGGCAGGGCCGGGCACATGGTGGGAGCTCAGGCTGTTCACTGAACTTGTTGAATATGGATTGAGTCCCCCCTGCCATGTGCCAGCACCAGCCCATGCAGCCACCACTAGACACAGCTCAGCTCCCTGCCATCAGGGAGACAGACAAGTAGCAGCCAGTTCCAAAGGAACAGAGAGCTGTGTGCAGTCCAACCCAAGGCAGCCAGGGTGGCAGGGGAGGTGTCACCAAGGGGTGCAGCAGGAAGCAGCCAGGGAATACTGGCACAGCAAGCTGCCTCCGATGCCCACCAAAGCCTCATGATCTTTGGGGCACAGGCCTTGGAGACAGGGGGTGGTGGGTGACCCCCTCCCGTGGCTGTCCCCACAGCAGGCCAAGTTCGCCTTCTACCGCTGCACCGTGCTGCTGCGCTGGCGGCTACAGCACACCCTCTTCTGCACGCTGGCCTGGGAGAGGGGCCTCAGCGCCCGCCACTTCCTCTGGACCTGCCTGGTGAGGGCCCAGGCAAGGGGACACTGGGCTGTGGTGGGACAGGAGGCAGGGCAGGGGTGGCAGGCCTGGCTGGCTGCTCCCCATACACCCGTCTTGAACACAGCCGGGGGTGAGGGAGGCCAGAGCAGGACTGCAGGTCAGTGGTCTCTCCAGGGCCAGCCCCAGCCAGTGATGGGTGCGTTCTCCCCTGGCCAGATGACCCACAGCCAGGAGGAGTTCAGCATCCACTTGTCACAGGCCATCAGCTACCTGCACAGCCACAACCACCACATCAAGACGTGGGCTGCACTCTTCATAGGTGGGAGAGGCCCGGCTCACAGCCCCCCAGGCCTGCCCCCTCCTGAGCACTCCTGACCCCCACCCACCCCGACCCACCCACTAGCAGGAAAAGGGGAGGTGAGGGGGTCTTGGGGCTGAGGAGAGGGATAGGGGTGGGGCTTAGCCCCCCAAGAAGACAGGGAGCCCCCACTCACTGGCCGCTGCTCCCCCATGTGTTGCACAGGTTATACCATCTGCCATTACCCCCAGGCTATGTCCCAGATGGTGAACAACGTTGACACCAACCTGCTGTTCCACAGTAAGCAGCCCCCTGCCTTGCAAAGCCCTCCCCCCGCCCACACCCTCCCAGCCCAGCTCTAGTGCTCTAAAACCCATTCCACAGATGTCAAGACTGAGGCCCCAGAGGAGGAGGGGCTTCTCCAGCCCCTCCCCAGGCCCCATCAGGGCACCTGGGAGAAGGCTCACACCACTCCACAGCTGCTGGGGGCTCCGATAAAATAAGGGGCCGGGAATGGGCAGGGACACCAAGGGAAGGGAGTTGTCCCAGGCCTAGAGTCGGAGGAGGTGGGGTCAGGGCGCCACCCTGCCCACCTCCCACTGCCCACCCAGGCCAGGCTGGGGTCCCCTGACTGGTCCCCCCTCTCCTGAAGCATTTGAAGATCTCAAGAAAGACCCAGAGCCTGGCATCCGGGAATTCGCCACCAGGCAGCTCACCTTCCTTCCAGAGTTGTCGGCCAGACTCCAGAAGTGACTCCAGCGTCCTCGCCCGCCCCCTCCTCCCCTCACCTGGTCGGTCAGTCCTGCCCCATCCACCCACACAGAGTTTGGTTGCATAACATTTTTCCATTTAAAAGAAAGATCTAGATTCAACAAAGAAGCGTTACACCTGTCAGCTCCCTGTCCTCCCTCCCAGGGGCCCCCTCTGCTGTGACCTAGCTAAGCCCAGGAGGCACTGGCAGGACTCGGGGATGGGGACAGGGGCAGGGGCAGGGCCAGGGCCAGAGATGGGATCAGCCTGGTCGGCGTGACCTGAGCCCGGGCCGTGTCTGGGCTGGCAGGGCGCGGCAGGGGCAGCCTCCGCTGTGGGCACTCACCCAGGTGCTCACGCAGGCTACAGCCGTCCCCAGCTGGAGCGCCGCTGTGACTAGGGGCTGGCAGTGGGGAAAGGGCGCCCTTGCCCAAGGCCCCACTGTCTCCCTCCACCCCTACATCCTGCTTAGTCCAGCCAGGGCTGGCAGCAGGCCCTGCCCGCAGAGCCTGGCCCACCAGTGTGGCCTGAGGCAGGGGTCTTGGCTCTCTAAGCCTCAGCTCTTCCATCTGTAAGACCCTAAGAAGTCTAAATCCAGAGGAGGCTCCCCCTCAACTCCCAGAGAGCCACCTGGGGACCTGTCCAACCTTCAGCCAGGTCCTTCCCCCTCAGCCTTGGGTTTTCCCACGGGTGAAATGGGCAGATGGGCCCTTCCCTTCACTGTAGGTCCAGGGAGCACCTGGAGAGACCCTCCCACAGAGCCCTTCCTGGGGCCTCACCCCCAGCTGTGTCTTTCTCCAGACCCCGGCCAGGCCAGCCAGCGCCCCTCCAGCAGGACACCCCAGAGCCCGCCCCGTCCTTCCCTCCCTCCGGCCACACCGACCCTCACCCACACCTTGGCTGGGGCAGCTCCTGCCCTGGGAAGCCTTCCCCGACCTCCCACACTGCTCACCCCCAAGGCCCAGCTCCCGTGTCCCCTACCCCAGCCCCACCTCAACGCCCCCTCCCAAGGCGGAGCACGCCACCTCTCAAGGGTGGACCGATAGCCTGTGAGCCCCGCGGGGCAGGGCTGCGCTGCACAAACCTTGGATGATGGGTTGAAAAATATAGCGACCTTCACCAAACACAGTTACTGAGTTCTAGACATGTGACCTTCGCCAAACACAGTTACTGAGTTCTAGACGTGTGACCTTCGCCAAACACAGTTACTGAGTTCCAGACGTGTTTGAGAAACGGAGAAAATGACCGTGGGTGGAGCTCGCAGGCCCTCTGCACAGGAGCCGAGGCGGCAGGTCTGGGCCCGTCTCCTCCACCATCAGTCTCTGAGGCTCGGCCGCCTGCCAACGGGCTTTGGGAGGTTCTGCCTTTTTGCATTCGCCCATCCTGCCCACTGACCTCCGCACTCGAAGCCCCTGGCTGGAGACTGGGGGAGCAGCAGGTGCCAGAGCTGTGTCCCGGGCAGGGGTGCGGTCACCCCAGGAATCGGCTTGCTGGTTCCGCCCACTTGCCTGGCACCTCTGAGCAGCGGGCGCTGGCCCGTCCTCCAGCTCATCTCCCGTTCTGGAAACGCTCTTAGCAAGAACATGGAGCTGGGGGCCCAGACTAGATGGATTCCTGGGGCCACACTGACTTTGAACAAGCCACTCGGACTCACTGGAGATGGGGAGGGGCCTAATTCCTAACGGGCAGGGCCAGCAGCCTCTCGGGGCCTGGTGGACAGTAGGCGTCCCATCAGCAGCACCAGTGCTAACGGCAGTCCAACGCCAGGCCGGGGAGGGCGGGACAGTCTGTGCTCGCTGCAGCCACCATCCCAGGACCCCAGGAAGGCGCAGCCCACCTAGCCACCCAGGCCCCTGCTGCAAGAGTGGACAGGACAGCCCTAGTGGTGGGCAGCTGGTTTGTGGGAAGCAAGCCCCTGGCAAGGCATCTTGCCACCTGGCCACGAGGCTCGCCCTGGCCCACTTCCTCCTTTCCTTGGGGAAAAGGGAAAAATGATTTCTGGGAGAATAGGTGAGAGGCCCTCCCCTAAGGCAGGTGTAGGGAGGATGAACAGTGGGCAGATAGGTAGGGGGCAGCCTGGGACCCTATTCTGGGAATGAAGTGCCTGGCGAGGACAGTGACTCAGAGAAGGAGCAAGTATTCTGAGTGATGTCCCCAGGTGGTGACAGTACCTGGGGGAGGGGCCTGGGGCAAAAGATAACTCCCCAGCCTCCACACAGCCAGCCCTGGGCCACGCTCCTCCTTGGTGTGACCCCACCCTCCTTGCCCCTCTTTTCTCAGCCCAGGATGGGGCTCAGCCCCCCAGAAAGAAACCTGTGCACACACAGGCACATAAGCTTCAAGGTCCATGGCCACAGGCAGGCCCCCTCCCCTGGGGCCTCTCTGCACACTCAGACCCAGCCCCAGGCGGCCCATGTGCCTAACCCACCCACCCCCACCCCCGGCCAATGGGATGGCGCATCCCTCCACCCTGAGCCACGGCACTCAGTGCCTGAAATCGTCCCACCACCACCGGCTCCCTTCTCTGAGACTGAAATGACGCCACCCCACTGGACACAAGGCCCTGAAGACGTACCCAGTGAGCCACGCCCATCCTGCAGAGGGCAAGTCTGGCGACCCAGCCTCGCCTTCTAATGCCCATCCCCAAAAACCTCGACTTGCAACTCAGTCCAGACAAGTCGCAGCAGCCTCAGTCAGGGGTGTGGGGCCCGGCAGGGCCACCAGGGGGTGCTGTGGGAGCCCCAGCGCAGGGCAGCAGGTTTCCCAGGCCCAAAGCTGCCGTCCACCCCCGCAGCCCACGCCACACACAGACACGGCTCCTTTTTTATTGCCTGGAGTGTCCGGAACACCTGACTGCCCGGGATCTGGTAACAAGGTGCCGAGAACGGTCCGGGTGAGGGGCCGCGGAAAAGGGGCTGGGCCCAGTGGTTAAAAAACACACCCTCCCCCGCATTAACAGGCCAGAGAGGAGGCCTGCCTGGGTGGCATCAGGGATGCTGGCAGGGGGCCAAGGAAGAGGGGCCCGACTGGGCTCAGACACGCAGGACCAGGGGGCAGAGACAGATGCGGGAGGGGCAGGTGGAAGAGACCCGCAAGGGGGAACATGGCCGGTCAGCCTCCTGGGACACAAGTGCGGGGCTACAAGGAAGGGAAGGCCAGATGGGGGCCGGCCAAGGCACAGAGCCCCTAGGGGCGGGCCGGAGCAGGGCGGGGCCACCACAGGCCCCAGGCCTGGCCAAGGTCCTGAGCTACATTTACATGACGCAGCATTTGGTCTTGTGCGTGTGTGGGTCTTTGAACCGCAGTCTCTGTTTAGGCCGGTATTTCTCCAGGTAGGTGAGCTGTTTGCTGTTGATGGCTCCGCGACGCTTCCTGGGAAGATGGGGACAGGGATGGGGTCACCTGGCCCCAGCCGGCCAACCTCGCCTGCCCCAGGAGCTCAAGGCACAGAGTGCAGCGGGGAGAGAGGGTCCTTGTGGCCAGCAGAGCCCCCCCACTTGGGGCCTCTGCCTGGCTGTTCCCACTGCCAGAGTCCCCTTCCCTCTGGTCACTGGTCACCTGCGGCTCACCCCTGCTTGCCTTCCAAACTCACCTAGGTGTCACCTCCTCCAGGCTGACTTCCCCGGGCTCCCCAGCTGGGTTCGACCTACCCCCAGGCCATGAGGTCTAAGAGGGCCCCAAGGGTGGGGCCTGGGCACTGCTGCCATCAGGGGATGGGCGGGGGCTGCAAGCAAGGGAGGGCTGTGCACAGAACTCAGGAGCCAGAGTCCTGCCTTGACCCTCCCAGCTCTGCCACCCTGGCCAGGTCCCACTCCTCCCCCCGAGCCTCAGGTTCCTCGTCTGTGAAATGGGATTGTGGTGGTGGAACACAGGGGGACCAAAGGACCGATGGTAAGCACGGAGCCCGGCACAGGGCAGCAGGGCCAGTGGGGTAATGCGGCAGTGAGCTGCTTCCAGCTCCAAGACACCAGGAACCTGGCCTGTGAGGTCATACTGTTCCTGCCACCTCACCTTCTCACATGCACATGGCCAGGGGACAGGAGACACTTCCTGGAGAAGGTGACACTACAGAGGAGCCTGAGGTGACAGGGCAAGTGAGGGCCTAGCACTTCTGAAGGTTCATCTGTCCCCACCTACCCATGACCTCAGGTGTGACCATGGACTCCGGCCTCAGCTGGGTCCCTGCGTGGAGTCCCCGCTAACCATGTCAGGCACACAGTGCAGGCAAGAAACAATCAATGCTATGAGTCACCAGGGCTTGTGCCTGCCTGTTTCTGCTGCACGGCCCAGCCTGCCCTGACCGGTGCGTCCCGGAGCAGAGGGAGCCACGCAGCAGGAGCCACGGAGGCTGGGCAAGGCGTGGGGCAGGGAGAGCCACGGTGAAGACCTGGCAGCCAGCGCCCCCCAGGGCCACCCACACCAAGGTGCACTGGGAGAAGGAGTGAGAGTGTGTTCACATCTGTGCTTGTGTGTGCATGTGTGTACTGACGTGTGAGTGTGCATGTACATGTGTACAACTGAGTGTGCATGGGTGTGCACCACCTGTGTGTGCACGTGTGCCTGTCTCCATGCATTCATATGTGCACACAGCCATCTGTGTGTGTGCCCGTGTCCGTGGGTGAGTGTGTACACGTGTGCACCCAGGTTCCCCCAGGAGTCCTGAGCAGCTGCAGGCATGCCCTCTCACGTGGACACGCAGGGCGGGCCAGCATGGCTGGTAACAAGCTGCCTCGGGAAAGCAGAGATGGCTGTGCCTGGCCAAGGCCATCTGGGAAGCAGCACAAGAGCGTGTGTGTTACGCACAGGTGCACGTGCATGCAGCGGCCGGGCTGGGGCAGGCCTCAGGTGTACAGCGTCAGTGTACCTGCAGAGGTGGCCCTGCTGTGCCTGCCTGGATCCCCCAGGACCCCTTTTCCTGGGAGCAGTGGGCAAAGGGAAGCCTGCCCCAGGCGGGCCACCCAGCCACGCGGAGGGCAGAGCGGGCATGGCGGGAGCAGCGGCGGGAGCAGCGGCGGGAGCAGGGCGGGAGCAGCGGGACTCGGGCACTCCGAGAGACACCAGACCACATCCTCGCCCTGCGGTGGGCACAGTGCTGTGGGTGTTTTCAGGGTCTTGGTTTACACCGAGGGGCTGGGCTGATGGCTTCCCCAGGTCCTTCCTCCCTGAACAGGGAAGCAAGTCCCCGTCCCCACAGCTGGATGGCGGTGGCCTAAGGAGCTCATGCCTGTGAGGGCAGGAGGGATGAGCTCTGCGGCGGTTAGCAGAGCAGCGCCCGCTGTAGTGCTGTCACCACGGCTGCCGTCCTCTGCCTCCCCGCTGTTCAGACGCTCTGGGGCCGCCTGTTTCTGCAGCTCAGCCCAGCCCGTCCTGACCCATGCAGCCTGAGGGCACCACCCAGCAAAAGCCACAGGGTGCTGGAGGGCGTGCAGCGAGCAGAGGCCCTGGACGCGGGGATCACAGCCCGCCCCCCCACCAGGCAGGCACTCACTGTCGGATGAACTGGATGGCGTCCTCGTACTTCATCCCGCTCTCGATGAGGGCCAGCGCCACGAGCACCGGAGCCCTGGGGACAGACGGTGCGGCTGGGGTCATCGGAGCCCACAGGCCCTGTCCCCCCGACAGGCCACCTGTGGAAGACGCAGGGCATGGGGGCCTAGGGGGCCCACTGCCCTATGCTCCCCAACGAGGGCACTGGTTGGGAGCCAAGTCAGGCTGCCTGGGCCCAAATCCCAGATCCCTCTTGTCCCTACTGTGCAACCTTCAGTGGTTGGGCAACCTCTCTGTGCCTCAGGCCCCTCACATGTAAAATTTGTTGGCAAGATGGGTAAACAGGGGAGCACAGGTAAAGCACTAAGCTCGGGTCTGGCCTGGGATAAGAGCTTGATACACACTGCCGTCAACCCGCTGGCCGGTCCTCCCTCTGCAAATGGGGGGGTGGGGTCCCCCTGCCTGGGTCATTTCAATCAAATCCCAGCTGCCGTTCCTCCGGCTTCAGGGGCCCAGGGCCCTGCGGGTGTCCTCGTGTCTGGGGAGGGGAAGCAGCAGCTCCTTTCCTGCACGAGGTAGGGGACAGTTTGAACCACAGCAGGAGCGGCTGGGTTAGGCCTGGGGAAGGACTTCCTCCCGTGAGGCTGTTAAAGGACTTGTCTGGGAGCCCCTATGCACGGGCTCTGGGAAGGTCACGGGAATGTGCGCGCCACACCCACATCCAGAAGCGAGCAGGTCAGACCACCAGACACCCAGGCGCAAGCTGAGCTCCCAGCAGCAGCGCCTGCGCGGCTAGCCCACGCCACAGCTCACCGTCCCAGGCCCGCCACGCAGTGCACGGCCACGCAGCTGCCAGGGTCCTCGCAGAACTTGGCCTTCAGCAGGCTCAGCCAGTCCTCCACGACCTTGCCAGGCGGGGGTGCCCCGTCGTCAAAAGGCCAGTCCTGCAGAGGGGAGCAGCCGGTGAGGATGCCGACCGGAGGTGGGGGCAGAGGCGGCCCCAGGCTCAGGCTGGATGGGGTGACACAGGGTGCCCCGAGAGAGGCAGTGGAGGCCGGGAGCCCGCTAGGGTGGAGGCACGGCTTGGCCATGAGCGCCCCACTGTGAATGCCCCAGACTCATCGCTTCCCACTCACTTCAGCTGTCCTCTCTTCCAGGAAGCCTTCCTGAACCACCCGGCCCCTTACTGAGTGCGCCTCCTCCACAGCCCATGAGCCCTGCTACCTCCTCCGCCCCCCATTGCCTGCGTGCCCGTAGCAGCCTGAGAGGTTTGAGGTCAGCAGGCCCAAGGGGTCTTGTCCTCCACGGTGGCACACGAGATGGCTGACACATGCCAGTCTGTGTCCCCAGCCTCCAAACGCAGCCACACAGCTCAGGCACCGGGAGGAATGAAGAAAGGGCAGTAGGGCGAGGCCGTATTTCTGGGAGCAGGACTAGTCAGGTAAGCCTGCGCCCTTCCAGTCAGGGGTCCTGGGAGCAGGGGTCTAATTTGGTATTGGAAAATGAGCTGCACTCCCACGCCCCACGCCCCCCCCCCAGAGGTAGGGGAGGAAAGCCTGGGCCTTTGAGGGGAGGGCTCAGCCGAGGGCATGCACACTGGGGACAGAGACCCTCCGCCTCGGTGAGGCAGTTCACGTGGGGCCAGGGACTGCTCCACAGCTGGTGCCGTGTGCTACCGGGGGTGAACCTGCACGGGCCCACTGAGGCTGAAAGGCAGCCCTCGGGGTCACCTCATCCCCTCTCTGGCCTCCAGGCAGGGCACCTCCTGGGGGCAGCCTGTCTGCACGGCTGCCCAAAGTCTAACCCAAGTCCTCCTGCTGCAGTGTGGGGAGGGAGGGTCACTGGCGTGCCCTGTGCCAAAAGGTGCTTACACACCATCGCCTCCCTGCCTTCCAAGCACCCACACCTTAAGAAGAGGAGCCTGTAGCTCAGAGTGTTCTGTGGGGCCACAGGGCTGGGAAGGGGCAGAGGCAGGATCCACTCAGGCCTGTCTGGCCCCAGAGCACCAGCTCTTCCCCCCACTCCCAACTGCCCAGCAGTGGCCACTCAACACAGCAGTACCTGTCAAAATGGAGCCCTTGGATGAAAGGCAGTGAGGAAGGATCCCCGCACTCTGGCAAAGAGACAGAGACCCAAGCACAGCGAGGCAGGGCCTCCTGCACACCAGGCTGGCCTCACTCCCTGCCCCAGCCCCAGCGGGGAAGCCTGCGCCAGGGGAGGTGCCGGCCGCCAGGCAGGGGTGGACCGCACAGAGCTGGCTCCAGGGCTCTGGCTGCTGTGGCCTGTTCCACAGGGACATGGCAGCAGAACTGCCCTACCCTCCACCTAGACCTGGGTCCCCAGGGCTGGAGGAGCCAGGGAAACGGCCCTGAGGGTCCATCCCCACGGCCTCTGCAGAGAACCTTCCCAGGGACCTGCTGCCTGGCAATAGGGCCCCAGACACCAGGCAGGAGAGGGAGGGGAGCCTGAGATGGCCCAGGCGTGGAGGAGCCAGGCAGCCTGCACACAGCCCCACGGGGGCCTGGCTCTGCCAGGGTTCTCTCAGGGGACCAAGTGCACACCCACTGAGCCCCAGCAGCCCCGTCCACACAGGGGGGCCCTGCTCTGCCAGGCAGGGCTGTTGGGGGTCATCGCCCTAGACCCCAATGGGGAGTGCACCCAGCAGTTAGAGGCATAGCTGTGTGTCACCCTAGGCAGAGGCTCATGCCTTCCCACTATGTGGCCTGACCCAAGTCTCAGTTTCCCCAAGATGGAACCACACAAGGGACTGCTGTGGGGCTAAGACCCCAGCACGCAGGAGGGCCTGGCTCTCAGGAGCTGCAGCCGGGCCAATGCACCAAGTGTGTGCAACCCCCTGCCCACTCTAGAGGTGGAAAAATGGGGTGCAGAGGGGGTGACTTTCTCCAGGTCACATGTCCTGACACTCAGCCTGTTCCCAATGTGCCCAGACACATGGTCCAGGCACAAACAGGCTGCGGAATGGCTGGTGGCACTAGAGAGGCCACATGTGCCTGTCCCACAGCAAGGAGCACAAACCCACCGCCCAGGCGGAGAGGCGCACCCAGGCTGAGCAGGGCCACCTGGGCCAAGAGCCCCCCCCCCCCATGGAGCAGCGGTGTCCCAGCGCCACGCGGCCCTCACCACCACAGTGATGCCGTCCTTCTCCAGCGGGGCTTTGTCGTAGGTCACTTCGCACACGCGCACCACGGTGGTGGCCCCGTATTTCTTCAGGTCCTGGTGGGGGAGGAGGGAGGAGGCAGGCTGGCATGGGGGCAGGGCTCAGGGCTCAGGACCCACTGACTGGAGCCTCCAGGGCAGGGCCGTGTCCCTGGACCAGACAGGAAGGCTCAGATGCAGGGTGCACCACCTGTGGTGGACCCCCAGGCTCGGTGACAGGCCAGGGTGGCGTCCGGGGTGGAAGAGCCTTTCCTGATGCTGCTAGCACCTGACCCTTGGCCCAGCAGCAGGGAGGAAGGTGTGCCCACCGACAGCCACTGTAATTCACAGCCGGACGGCAGTGACCGCAGCTCCCAGCATACTACCTTCCCTCCTCTGTGGTGCTCAGGACACCCAGTCTTACCAGAAAGGCCCCATTTTCCAGGCAAAGCTACTGAGCCCCCCAGAGGGGCAGGCTCCCCCAGCCCACACACGGGTCCTGCATCTGGGCAGCCCCCCCACCAGCAGGCCCAGCCCCGGAGCCCTTCAGGGTCTCCTCAGGGCAGGCCTCAGCTGGCAGGGGGCCTCAGAGCAGGGGGCAGGTGCCCGCTCAGATAGCCACAGGCAGGAGCCAGACCCTGCACACCAGCGGGGAAGCCCACACTACCAGGGAAAAGGTCATGGTCACACACGGCCAGACAGATATTTATACCCCACTCCGTGCGGGCCACGTGCAGGGGCTGTTCCCACCCCCACCTGCTCCCTGCAGCTATTTTGGGAGTGGTGAGGAATCAGTTGCTAGGTCTTGTTGATCGTGCGATGGGGACACCGACACAGGGAGGCCAAAGCCAACTATTCTAAGAATACAGGAGTAGGAGGGGGTGCCGGGCTCTGAGACCATGGGGTACACCAGAGTCCCTCTGTGCCCTCAGCAGGGGCAGCTGAGCCCTCCCTGACCCTGGTCACACACTGAGCCCTGATCTAGTCACATACTGAGTCCTGACCCTGGTCACATACTGAGCCCTGATCCTAGTCAGTCATACACTGAGCCTCAACCCTGGTTACACGCTGAGCCCTGGTCCTAGTCATGTACTGAGTCCTGATCCCGTCCACACACTGAACCTTGACTCTGGTCACACACTGAGCCCTGATCCTGTTCACACCAGCCTTGACTCTGGTCACGCACTGAGCCCTGATCCTGTTCACACACAGCCTTGACTCTGGTCACACACTGTGCCCTGATCCTGTTCACACACAGCCTTGACTCTGGTCAACAGCTGAACCCTGATCCTGTCCACACCACAGGCCTTGACTCTGGTCAACACACTGAGCCCTGATCTGTGTCACACACTGGCCTTGACCTGGTCACACACTGTAGCCCTGATCCGGTTCCACACACTGTCGCCTTGACTCTGTGTCACACGACTGAAGCCCTGATCCTGTTACAACATGCCTTGACTCTGGGTCACACCACTGAACCGCCTGATCTGTTCACACACAGCATTGCGCACTCTTGGGGTCACGCACTGAGCCCCTGATTCCTGTTCACACCTCAGCCTTGACTCCTGGTCAACACACTGAGCCCTGATCTGTTCACACACAGCCTTGACTCTGGTCACACACTGAGCCCTTGATCCTGTTACACACAGTTCTTGACTCTGTCACCACACTGAAGCCCTGATCCTTTTCCACACAGCCTTGACTCTGGTACACCACTGAGCCCTGATCACCTGGTCACACCCACGCCTTGACTCTGGTCACACACTGAGCCCTGATCCTGTTCACACACCTAGTCCTTGACTCTGGTCACACACTGAGCCCTGATCCTGTTCACACACAGCCTTGACTCTGGTCACGCACTGAGCCCTGATCCTGTTCACACACGGCCTTGACTCTGGTCACGCACTGAGCCCTGATCCTGTTCACACACAGCCTTGACTCTGGTCACAGCACTGTGCCCTGGATCCTGTTCACACCACATCTGAACGGCCCGTCCCTGATCCTCAAGCCTTGCTGGTCACACACTGACCCTGATCCTGTTCACACCACAGCACTTGACTCTGTCACACACGGCCCTGATCCTGGTTCACACACAGCCTTGTGACTCTGTGTCACAGCTGAGCCCTGATCTGTTCACACACGCCTTGACTCTGGTCACACACTGAGCCCTGATCCTGTTCACACACCTAGTCTTGACTCTGGTCACACACTGTGCCCTGATCCTGTTCACAACACACAGCCTTGACTCTGGTCACACACTGTGCCCTGATCCTGTCAACACAGTCTTGACTCTGGTCACACACTGAGCCCTGATCCTGGTCACACACAGCCTTGACTCTGGTCACACACTGAGCCCTGATCCTGTTCACACACAGCCTTGACTCTGGTCACACACTGAGCCCTGATCCTGTTCACACACCTAGCTTAACTCTGGTCCAACATATGCCCTGATCACTGTCAGCACCAGCCTTGACTCTGGTCACACACTGTGCCCTGATCCTGTTCACACACAGCCTTGACTCTGGTCACACACTGAGCCCTGATCCTGTTCACACACAGCCTTGACTCTGGTCACACACTGAGCCCTGATCCTGTTCACACACCGAGCCTGCAACCTTAGTCATACATAAAGCCCTGATCCTGGTCACACAGAGCCCTATCCCTTGGTGACACCCTGAACCCCAACCCTGGTCACATTCTGAGCCCTGACCCTGGTCACTCACAGTGCTGAGCTTACTAGTCTTGCTGTCATCTCAAGGGTCTCAGGTATGAGGGAGGTGGCCATCCACCCCTGGGCATCTGGCTTAGTGACCAGGTGCCCACTGCCACTCTCTCTCTAGTTTTCAAAGCCCTCTCATGCCCATGACCCTGTTTCATTATGACAAGTCCATGGTGACTTATGTTGCAGAGAGAAAAACAGAGTCTGAGGCCACAAATGACCCTGCACACGACTGCAAGCTCTGCAACAGCCGTGCGTGGTGCGGCCTGTGCTGAGGGCCCGGCTCCCACAGGAGGCCACGTGGACAGCTCCAGATTCAGTTCCCAGCACAGGTTCCGCCAACACTTCTGGTCACATCTGCTGGAGTTGAGAGATGGTCTCTGTGCTCCTGGCTCTCCAGGATGCAGTGGCCACTCCCTCCATGGCCACTCCCTCCTCACACAAGAGATCTGAGCCCTGCAGCCCCCAGCCCGGCCTGTTCTAACCCGAGGCCTCACCAAAGCCCCAAGGCTTCCTGTGGCCTGGGCTGGCCATGGAGCCAACCTACACACCTGTCCCCATCTGCCTGTCCCATATTAAGCAGCAACTTCTCACATCAGGGCCCCCCTTCCCTCTTGCTCAGCCTCTGCACGGAGGCCAAAGGGTGGCCAAAGGGCTCGGACGGCCCCAGCCCAGGCGACGTCCCACCACTCAGAGCCCAGCCTGTGACACCCTCACTTCGCAACCTGCCTCTAGCCACGGCAGCATGGAGTCCCTCCGCTCTACACCCGTCCTGCCAGCTCTGGCCTAGAGACCCCACCCGGCCCCCACTCACCTCAATGAAGGTGCTGAGGGTGGCGTTGGTGGGGTTGTGCGTGATGAGAAAGCGCATGTTCTTGTAGCTCACCTCCACCGGGGCGGGCCGGTTCATCCGCGCCATGCTCCCCCCGACCCGGGATGGGCAGAGCGGGGCCAGCGGGGGCTGGCCAGGCCGGGGCCAGGCCAGAGAAGCCCCACCAGGCCCCAAAACCAAGCAGAATGAGATCCCTATGCTTGTCCAAGACAGAGAAAAGACTTTTAAAAACTTGCCCCCACAGCCCGCACAAATATTGTGCAAATACTTGGGAGAGGGGAAGGAAGCTGCCCGGTGTTCGGATAATTAAAAAAGAAAACCCAACTCTTTAAAAAAGAAAAGGAACAAAAAAGGCCCCCAGAGTGAAACAGGCAGCTCCAAACTCCTGTCTCTCAGAGCTGGATAATTATAAAGGGGCCAAAACAAAAATAACAACCACCAAAAAAATTCAGCAAAGAAAACTTAAAAAACCCAAAGTGAATCTGGCCGGCGGGGCAGTGTCCAGCGCTGGGCCCACCACTGGGGACACCCTCTCCGCATCAGCGGCGGGCAGACAGCCCCGAGCTCAAGGGCAGGCCCCAAATCCCAAGGACAAGGACAAATGAACGGATCCAACTCCACAGCCTTGGGGGGGTCGCAGGTGGCGGCCGTGGCCGCTGAGGCCTCAGATGCTCAGGGCCTCTGTCACGCTACCCCATCGGGGCACGGCAAGGCCCAGGAGTCCTGGCGGGGCCAGGGGTCTCAGGCTGCAGAGCCGGCCCTGGGCCGGGCAGCGGGGGCCATCGGCGGGCGAGGGCGATGGTGGGAGCCGGAGGCGGAGGCCCCCTCAGCAGCAGGCGCGGCGGCGGTGCAGGGCGCAGCAGGACTCAGGGCGGCCCCCAGGCCCTCTCCACACATCCCCGCTGGTTGGCGGCAGGCAACAACGTCTAGGGAGGACAGAAACGGTCAGGAAGGGGTCACCAGGAGCCCTGCCTCCTGCCCTGAGCCCACAGTCAGGGGCTTCTCCCGGGGCCCTGCCCGTGGCCACATGAATGAGTGACCTTCCATGGGCCTCAACTTCCCCACGTGAGAGCACAAGGAAGGACAGCTCCTACCAGGGTTGGCCCAGGGGCCTGAGGTGAGGGGACAGCCACCGGGACGTGATGGAGGTGACGGAGGAAGAGGGGGATTCCAGGGACACGCCCCACCAGGAGCACACTGAATCCCAGCGCATGGATCACGGGTCCAACCGTGGTGACAGAGGCCAAGCCCCCATGAAGGGCTGAGCCTGGCCCCTGCCCAGCAGCCTGTGGTCAGCAGATACCCCACCCCACCCCAAGTCAGCGACCTTCTCCTCTTCGGATCCTTGGCCCCTGTGGAATGTCTGAGCCCAATCATTTGGGGTGCCTGTACTCAGGGAAAGGGGCTCAGGCCTGGCTGGTGCTGCCGGGGTACACTGGAGTCAGGGCAGGCCCCACACACAGCCGTGAGCCACCCTAGTCACCTCTTCCCACAGAACATGCCCTGCCCATCCCTGTCCACCCAGCCACGGTGACCCCACAGCACGCCTGGGGCCGGCCAAGGACACGGACACAGGCTGGGCTCTGCCCTCCCAGAGCTCGGAGAGGTAGGGACAGACTGTAACAGCCAAAGGGCCAGCTATTAGGTGGCCAGAAGTGGAGTCACACTGTGACAGGGTCATGGGTCTCATGACCCCAAAGGTTTCAGACAAGGGGGTCTCAGGAACACCCAGCCCCCCTCCCACCCCACAGCAGTGCTGGGAAACCTTGGGCATGTCACTGGCCTCTCTGGGCCACAGTTACCCATCTGCATGATGAGGGAACAAAAAGATAACCTCAAGGCCCCCCAACCCCAGCTGTGACCCAGTGGTTAGCAGACCCTCCAGCCACCGGACATAACCCAAGCCCCACCCCACCACTCCAATCCGCTCATTGCCCCTGCCTCCCTCTCTCTGCCTGAGGAAGGGGCACTTCATGGGCACCCCCGGCACAGTGCTCCATCCCCGCCTCCTCTTACCTTGCCCTGCCCCAGCGCCCTGGCTCCAGCTGCCCACCAGGGAGGCTGGGCCCCCAGAGCCTCAGCCTGGGCGCAGGCAGGGCACGAGGCTGGGCCCCACGCTCAGAACAGCGGCTCCACCGCTGCTGGCCAGCAGCCTAGGCACAGGCCCCACTGCCCAGGGCTGCAGCCACGCAGGACGGTGGGGGCTCCTCACTGCCTGCCCGCCACACCCTGGGCAGCGGCCAGCACTCACAGGCTCAGGGCAGGAGCCACCTCACACTCTGTCCCTCGCATGGTCCTGGGAGGGTTACAATGGAGGGACCCCAGGAGGCAAAAGGCAGAAGGAAGGATTCCTGTCCCTGGCGCAGCCAGCCTCCACTCTGCCCTGCCTGGAGCAAGCACAGGCTCTGGGTGCAGGTGAGGAAAGCCACCAGGTCCCAACAGCACACAAACAGCTGGGTCCCTCCTGGGACAGCAGAATGTCCCTGAGTGCATGTGTGTGTGTGTGCGTGCCCGCGTGCCTGAGCCGAGTTCATGTTTACAGAAATAAAGAAGGAAAAGAGTCCCAGAAGCCACAGCATGAGGGGGCTCACCCACTGTCACCACCCACAGCTGCTGGGGACCTGGGGAGACCCCACAGTCAACAGCACATGCCTGGCTCTGCTGCCCGGCATGCCGGGACAGGTCCTCAGGGCTGGGGGTCGCTGGGCAGGGAGTGGGCTCTGGACCACCCCACACTACTGCCCACCCAGGGCCTGAGGATGTCACATGTCTGCAGGGATCAGGGCTCAGACTGGGCTGCAGTCAGGGGTCAGGGCTCAGGCTAGAGTGGGGTCAGAGGTTGGACCAGGTTGGGCTGGAGTCTTGCCACACACCCCACTTGTCTCTGCAGTCTGGGATCTCCAGCCCCAGGTAAGAGCAAAGCAGTGATGTCATACCCTCCTGCCCCACATGGCCAAACGCACCTGGTGGCCACTCCCCAGGGAGGAGCCCACTGCACACCCACGCTGCCCTCAGTGAGGTCACTGAGCAGAGCCCAGAGAGCAAGGTTAAGGGGGAAGCCCCGTGGGGGCAGGCAGCTGGCTCTCAGAGCCGATGGTTACCGTGGGCAGCCAAGGCCTGTCTGGCCACCTCCCAATCCCCATCAGCTCCAGGTCTGGGCAGAGGCAGAATCCCCAAGGTAGGGAATGAGAGCTCCTTGCAGACGAGGCCTCAGGCTCCCATCTGTGAAATGGGCACAGGCCGTCCAACCCCAATCAGCAATGAGACCAGCCTTATTTCAGCTTCTCTGCTGCTGCCAGCCCCCACCCCACCCCAGACCACCCCACCCCTGCCACAGAAGCCCTGCTGGGAGCCGCAGCCCCTCCCTTCCCCTCTGGCTGCCACCCCTGTAGCCACCTCCTGGGATCCTGACCTGGACTCTCGCCAGCGGGCACAGAATCCTCGGCTAGTGCCATAACAGACCCTCTCACAACCCTTGAGGGAGGGCCCATCTCTGTCCGTCTCCCAGATGCCAAGGCAGGCCGGGAGAGGGGAGAACGTTCTCCAGGCCCTGGCCAGACCAGGCGCCTAATTAAGTGGGTTCTTCAGCCTCAGGTGTAGGAGGCAGGAAAACACTGAACCCCAGTGTACAGAAGAGGAACCCGAGGTTCAGGGAGGCTACCGCCCTCATTCCCAGTGGCACTGTAGGTTAAAAAGTTTGAATCCGCAGGCTTCAGAGAGGGGCCCCCGCTCACACTACCGACAGGGCTAGAGGCCTAGGACTCAGTGGGGTCCCAGGAGAGGCCAGGCAGCTCTGTGGGAAGGGCTGGGGTCAGACAGGCTGGGGGCCCTGGGCCAGTCACGGGGGGAACAGGGGGCTCCCCACCCAGCCCATCGCGCCCGCCCAGGCTCACCCGCGCCTCCAAGCGGAGCTGGCCGCCTGGGCCAGGGTCTGGCAGGTGCCCCTCCCACAGCGGCAAGGGCTCCCGGATTGCCGCAGCCTCAGCCTCGGCCTGGGGCTATTTATAGTGCCCGAGTGTCACGTGGGGGGTGGCTCCCACACCTGGCGCCTAAATATAGCCCGAGGCAGACAGAGGGACCCTGAAGGAGCAGTGGCACCCTTCGAGGAGAAAGGCCGACCCACTGCTGCCCCAGGACGCTGCCCTCCCTCCCTCCCTAGAACCTCCTAGGCTCCCACAGCTGCCCTGGCAGCAGAGAGGAGGGGCTGCACAGGGTTCCCGGGCCCACAGAGCGGGAGCACAGCACAGGCAAAGGCTGGAGGGAGCACGCCCAGCTCTGGAGCTAGAAATGCAGCCACCCCTGTGGAGGCGGTGAAGGTGCTGGCACCAACAGGATAAGGGTGGCGCTGAGTGACCCTGTTCAGACCCCTGCCCAGCTCACCAGCCTCATGGTGGAGGACCCTCTCTTTATGGAGCATCCTGCAGAGAGGCTACTCCCATCCACGCCCCCACCCCTGGCTCCGTACAGGTGAGGAAACTGAGGCACTGAGAATAGCAGCACCCTCAGGGTCACGCCAGCGGGCAGGAGTCAGCTAGGGAGCTGTCTCCACATCCCACTCAACCGCCAAGGCTCAGTACAGATGCCCCCTCTCCCATGAAGCCCTCCGTGCACCCCTTGAGGTTCCTGGCCTGCCCACAGCAGAAGGGCCCTGGCTCACAGTGTCTGGGAACACCGTGCTCCCCAGACTGTGAGCCCAGGAGCGGAGCCCGGAGGCACGATCAACAGATGCCTGCCCTGCACTCAGAGGCCCTGGGGGCAGGGTGGAGCAGGGAGGGTAGAGCCCGCAACACACAGGGTCCTGGAGCTTTGTCTCCCTGGGAACCCAGCTTACAGGCAGCCTGGTCCAGCGGTTAGTGCCTGGGGTGGGGGCAGGTAGAAGCAGGCTGGCCAGCGTCCCTGCTGAGAACATGGCCCCTCCCAGGCTCCCCCCACATACACATCCAGAGAGCATCACCATCAGCCCAGCCTGGCACAGCCACGCCTGCAAAACTCCACCTCCTCTCGCCCCGCAGTGGGCAAGCTGGCCAGGGAGGGAAGGATACGGTGGCCACATCTAAGCTGGAGGGCCCCGCAGGAGCCCCTGCCCAGGGCACTCCGAGCCAGGAAGCCCTGCCCACCAGCTCAGGGAGCCCCCCTGGTGTAAGCTCCCTGGCAGGTACTCCTGCCCTGTGGGTTCACTCAGCACCGGGGTAGACCTCAGCTTCTGACTCCCACTCCAGTGCTCTCAGCCTACCGCTTCCAGCAGCTTCTCCTTGAAGGACCAAGTCGGGAATGGGTATTTACTGCTCTACCAATCTCCCACCTCAACTGCTTTCTAAGGAATGCCAGACACTGCATCCCAGGAGCAAGGCACTAACACCAGCTACAGTGTACTGATAAAACACCACAGCTCAGAGAAGTTGAGCAACTTGCCCAAGTCACACAGCCAGGAAACAGAAGAACCACAGATGGAGCTGTTTTATGACCCCAAAGACCTGCTTGTCCCAACCCCAGCCCTCTGGGATAGGGAACATATAGGGCAAGCTGCTCCAGCCACCCCAGCCTCAGTTTCCTCATCGGTAAAATGGGTCTCTTAGTGAAAGGTCCCATCAAGCTCTGTGATGCCACAACCAAGACAGAAAACCCGTCATGTTGCTATTGCTGCAAATGTGGGCCCCCAGCATCCTGCTCCCCCCACGAGGCCCCACTCCCTTGGCTGGGGCCCTCTGGCCAGGCCTGGGGGGCACCTGCTTCAGCTGGCACAGCCCCAAGCCTTTCGGAGAAGTCTATTTATACCAGGGCAGGAGCCGTTCCTGGAATCCTCCCAGAGCAAGCCCAAGCCCGCCCATTGCCAGGGGGGCCAGGAGGGGAGACCCAAGCAGGCCAAGTCCACACCAGATCCCCTAGGAAAACTTCCCCGAGCCCACATGCCCCTGCACCCAGCAGCCCCAAGGGTGCCCCCCACCACTGACCTCTTCTCCCAGGCCCTGTCCTATCCTTGTCCCCTGGGCCACATGCCCTTTAGAGCACAGCCCCAGGGAAGACGTCCCTGACTGGAGGAGGGACTGAGAGGGCCTCAGTTCCTCCCCACCTCCCAAGCCCTGGCACCAAGCGGGCTCCCACTTGTTTGTGGAAGGAACAAATGACCCAACGTTCTGGGCAGAGGTCCAGATCTGGGAAACATCCAGAACCCATCACAGAATCTCAGCCTGAGATCTGGAGGAAACTCAAAGGTCACCCACGCCACCTAATCCCCCAGTTTGCATACCTCTGGTGATGGGGAGCTCACTACTCATTGGCAGCCCTTGTGTCTTCTGCCTTCGGGCAGCTGCCTGAATTATCTGTCCCTCTCTGTGCTTCCTGAGCACCTATCGCTGGGACAGGGAAAACCTCCAGGTAAAAGAAGCCCCAGGTGGCAGCTGATCCAGAGGGCAGGGTGGTCAGGGAAGGCTTCCTGGAGGAGCTGGTCAGAGGGGAGGCAGGCATTCTTCTGTCTGGAGGCTCATGTCAGGGCTTGACCCACTGCCCCTGACTCCCTCAGAGAGGGAAGCCGACTTCTGAGGTGGTGCCAGCTCCAAGCCAGGCACAGGGCGCCTGGATGATGACCTGGAAGCGCAGCTGTTGGGAACAGGCGTGGGCTCCCACTGGGCAGGCACCTTTTCTACCCGCTGGGGATCTCGAGACAAGCAGGCTGCAAGGACACTCCCCTGCATGTAGCCACTGCCCCTCCAGGGCCACACAGGCCACCTCTACACACAGCTTTAACGCGCTGACTTTCCAACCCAGGTGGCCCACTGCCCAAGGCCACCCTCGCATGCTACCAGCCACCAGCACTGCTCAGGCCGCAGCCCCGCCACAGAACCAGGGGCTATAACTGCCTGCGTATGGGCCAGGCCAGGCTGTCATTAGGCCGGCCAGGTACTGCACTCCAGGACCTCGTGCCACTCAGACCCTGCCGGGCCCACCCTGAGCCTCCCAGCCTCCAAAAGCACCAGGAGAACCAACCCAGTGATGGGTAGAAACCTGACCTCCAGGAGGTGCTCAATACCGAACCTCCTATAAAGGGAGCAGAGGTGCTGGGGAGGAGGAGGGCGAGGACAACAGGGAGGAGTGCCAATCCTACTCACAGGGAAGCTGCAAACCATGACACTTGGGACCAGTCTTTGGGCTCACATAGACCCAGGGTCAGACCCAGTGCTGCCTATGACCGCTTCTGCCCTCTGCGCCTTGGTTTCTCCCCTGTGAAAGGTACAAGTCCTGCCTTTCTGGGGTCTCCAGGGCACAAAGGAGGCAGCAGGTACTGAGAGCTGGAAGATAGGGCCTCTGGCCACCAGGCAGCAGATCAGATGAGGAAACTGAGGGACAGCCAAGGAACTGGGACCCCCAAGTGTGAGCACCTGAACCCTCCAGGTACCCCTTCTGCCACCCCACAAACCCACTTGGCAGCAGGGCAGGCAGGCCACCTCCCCTGCCTGGGGACCTGGGATGAGGGACAGGGATGGGGGCTATCAGTGTCTGGGAAGGCATCCCAGGAGCCACTGCTGGCCAGGCTGCCTGTGATACCACACCATGCCACACTGGCCATGGCTCCTCTAAGCATTCTGGCTCTGGGGACTGCACCCTGGGGCTGCCTTCCCCTACCCAAAGCCCCACCATTCACCCCACCACTCCCGACCAGCATGCCCGCCCTCCACGCTGCCCTCACCCTCCCTGAGGCTCAGCACTGGGTGTGCCACCTGCATACTCTGCTACTCCCAGCCCAGACCTCAGGACTCCCACCAAGGAGGCAAGGGGAACTGGGTATTCATTCGTTCATTCATTCATTTGTCAAATTTGACAAATATGTATTAAGTACTTGCCAGTCCCAGGTAGTGGGCTAAGCTAGGGGGTACAGGGAAAGAAATGCACAGAACAAGCAAAAGCCTGCCTACCCTGTCCCGTCCCCCCCTTCCAGATCAGCTGTCCAGCAGCCCCACCCCCATCCTGGGAAGTTGCCTCCCAGATGTCCACCGTGTGTGGGCCAGACAACTACAATATTGTGTCCCCATGTGCAGGCATCACTACTGAGTCAGGGGTCACTTCATCCCTGGAGCTGAGCTACCTGGGCTCCTTGAAGTGACCTCGCTTCAACCTGTGCCTCAGTTTCCAGGCTCTCATGTGCAGGGTTAGAATGTGGGCTGCCTGGCTCACAGCTGGGATAACCCCAAGGCCAGCAGACCAGGTTCCAGGCATGCAGGCCTCCACTCCCCCTGCTGTCACCCTGCCATGGGCCCAGCCAAGGCTCCCACCAGCTGCCTCCACACAGCTAGCCGCCAAGCGACATCCTCCTGTGGCCCAGCCTTGAGCTATGCAGTTTCCTGCAGCCAAGAGCCCTCTGGTCCCACTGTGGCCCATTTCCTCACGCTCTGGCTCAAGCACCATCTCAGGGAATTACTAATGGGGTAACCTCGGACAGTTACTCTCTATGCCTCAGTTTCCTCATCTGTAACAAAAGGATAACAACAGTAAACTTCCTTACACAGTTACCAGAAATAAAAGAATTAAGTCATGAGAAGTGCTCAGAACAGTGCCTGGGACAGGTGCTCAACCAGAGTGTCTGTTAGTGTCACCAGTGTGATCCTCATACCCCACGGAGAAACACGCTGCCTCCTCTCCTGGTCTCAACCTGACTCCAGTGAGGAATGGGACGCTCAGGCCTGGGGTCCTCCAAGGCCACAGTGCCCCTGGCGACCACCTCCTGTGGGCCTGGGTTTCAGGGCCTCACACCCATGCTGTTATGCCCCCTCCTTCCCAACGTCCCTGACACCCCCAGGCAGCTCGGGACCCCAGCCTAGAACCAAATAGCACAGATTTGGCCCTGCCATCTAGAGAAGGAAATCGTGAGGGGCTTTGCACATAAGTGTGACCCACCTGGAAAGCCACTGATACTTCAAATCCTTGCAGGGAGTTCTTAAAACCCAAGATAACAGAGGACCATCTAAGCTGCCATTTACCAACACCTAATAGTAATAAATGGCAGTTACCACATATTGAGAACCCAGTTTGGGACAGAGCCTGAAGACTGTTAGGATCAAACGATCACAAGGCTCCTCCACTCACGGGGGGCACTTTCTGCAGCTCTCACCCTCCACTGACTCATTTTGCACAGCGGGGTTTAGCAGCCTAACCCGGTGCTGCAAGGATCAAAGGCTGTGCAGGGTCTACACCCCAGCTAGAGAGATCATGGTCAAAATCGGCACCTCGTGCCACGGCTGTGCCAACCACAGATCCACGTGGCCTGGCAGGTTCTGGTCCCACAGCACCTCCAAGGGCACTCGCATGATTGGGTCGCCGGGCCAGCCCTGGATCACGCCTGCGTTCCTAGAGTGGCGGTTCACAGCCCCCCTCGGTGAAAGGAGTAATGGCAGGTGATAAACCATGCCTCACTGCGTGGTCACCCTCATCTAACGACACAAGACACAAGCAGAGGGGCTCAGGAACTGCCCAGTGGTGGACTAACCAGGCTGGGCCCCACACGGCCCCCAGTCCCTGGTCTGCACCGAGGTCTCTCCGCCTCCTGACGCTGTGGCCCCGGGTCAGCCCCCTGCAGGTGGGAGCACCGAGGGATCATCGCGGTGGGGCACACTGTACACAAAGCCTGAGAGGATGCGCAGTTTCAGCCCCGGTTCCAGCCGTCTGCTCGGATTTTGCGGGGAACAGGTCCCACCGCCAGGGCGGCGCCCTCGCCCCACCCGACGAAAAAACGACCGCGACTCCGGTCGCGCTCCCGGCCTGTCCGGGCCACCCCCGCCCTGGGCCCGCCGCCGCCGTCACTCACCACGGACCGGTCCTCCGCTCGGGCCCCAGCGCCTCGCCGCAGGCTTTATGCCCGGCCGGCCCGCCCCCGCGCACGTCAAAGGGCCGGCGCGAGCCCGTGCAGCCCCAGCGGACCCGGCAGCCCTGGCAGCCCGACCGACGGGGGCGGGGCCCCTCCCGCGCTGCGCTCTGGGGCCGCGGGGCCAGGGCGTCCCCAGGGCCCCGTAACCGCGGGAGCCGGCGGGAGGGGCAGGAGGGCGGCGCCAAGGCCGGCCTGCAGCTGGCGGTGGGGCAGCCTGGGGGCTTCCCTGTCTCAGCCATCCCCCTCTACCTTCTGCAGTCTGGGAAGAGGGTCCCAGCGCCCGCTCCTTGCTGAGGGTGGGGGCGCCTCACCACACCCCCGCCAGTCCCACCCTCTCACCCAGAAACAGACCCAGCTCTCTGCGATGCGCCCCACCTGAGCAGCCCATGCGTCCTCCCCAGCGCCTACAAGAGACCTGGGGACGTTCCCCTCCAGGGAGCCACCCAGGTTTGGGGCTCCCAGGCCCTCAACTCAGCCTGTTGTCACCATTTCCTCCAGGAGGAAGCCCAGGGAGACAGTGGGCAGAGCAGCTGCTTTGCAGACCCCACCCAGGCCTGGCTCCACACTCTCCCACTAACCCCCAGGCACTAACACAGTTCCTTCCGCAGGAAGCGAGAACCCCACCAGTGGGGGAGGGGCTGTTCCTGTCTCCCAGGGCCAGGGTCACTTGCCCCTCCCCCATCAGGATGCTGCCCCAGCCCCAGTGCTATCAGAAGGGGTGGAGCCCTCCTCCCTCATCCTGTAGGGGGTGTGGGGGGGTCTCAGCCCAGCCCAGCCCAGCCCCCAGGATTGTACCTCTTGGGAAGAGAAAGGCTACCAAGAAGTCCATGTTTACACCCTGCTACCCCCAAGGGAGCAATGGGAGCAAATCCTATCTGAGGGCTCCACCACCCCACCCCACCCCCACCACCCCTGGGCACCCCCATCCACACACCCCTAACTCCCCACCAGCCGCCTACCAGCTGCCCATGAACACCTCATCCCAGCTGCAGGCCCTTCCCAAGGGCCCAGTGACCAGGTTCTCCCCAGCCTCAGCCAGTGCCCAGGCCCTCTTTAGCCACCGACTTGGCCATCTTGCCTGCTTCTCAAGGCTCTTACCATGGCCCCTGCCAGGTGCTGTGACTCACACCTGCCCCCAGGCCTCTGCTCCTGCTGTGCCCTCTGTCTAGCCACCCTTCTTTCCCCTGCAGGGCCACCTCTTCCAAGCTCCCCCTGCATGAACCCTCCTTGCCCCACCTGCCTTCCACCACTGCACATCCCCTCTCTCTAGGGCAGTCCCAGAGGCCAGGTCTGTCTGGGGTCACCCACCAGGCTGGGCTTCTAGATGACAGGGCCATGCCCAGTCCCTCTTGCATCTCCCTGTAGGAGGATACAAGCCTCAGGGGATCACTGCACACAGTGGACTGACGGTCCAGTGAGTGACAGGACAGCTGCACAACAGAGGGCCAAGTCAGTGGCTCAAAGGGGACTCCTGGTCCCATACTCATTCCCACCTCCTAGTGTGACTGAGAACCCAGTGTGGCTACTGCCCAGTGCGGAGCTCTGGTGAGCACACACCAACATGCACACACAGAGATGTACGTGCACACACACGCCACAAAATGGATGACCAGACCAGATGCCTATGCGAGGAAGATGGAGACCCTGTCACCTGCAGCAGCCTGGCACCACGGTGCCCAAGAGACACTCCAGGGTTACCATGACCCCCCGCCCCCAGCCCTCCATGCCCACCAGTCCACGCCTCCATCTCCATCTTGCCTGGAGAGCTTCTGCCCAGGCTGGATCTGGGATTGGGAAAGATGACCTCTCCCGCCTCCGCACTGCCAGGGATCTCCACACCAAGATGAAGTGTGCAGCTTGTTGGGGTCCAGAGGCTCTGCCTTGGTACCTGGAGTTCCGCTAAAGCCCTTGGCAGGACCTCCCACTGCCCCTCCCTGGGACAGCCCAGACTGGTCCTAGGACAGACATGGCGAGACTCGTGGGTGTTTCCAACACCTCGCCCTTTGATACATGCAGGTTCCCATGCCACACCGGGACAAGGGACCCCCACCTGCATTCACACACATGGCTAGGTGGCCCCAGTCCCCCAGCCTCCCTGTTTGTAGAGCCTCCATCCCAGAGTCCTGGTTATGACATGATGGCAGCAGCTCTTACTGTTACCAGTAAGAGCTGGTAACACCAGAGTATGGGGTGCTGGGATAGGAATTCTAGACAGGAAGAGGCAGCTTTAGAGCCTACCCTGCCCTCAGCGTCAGACCCACAATCCCAGTGCTTTCCTCCTGGGGCCCATTCAGGCTGCTGCCAACTCCTGGCACCATGCCACCCATGGCTCCAAGGCTCCTAAAGGCCAGTGCCCAGAAGTGGGCATAATGTCCCAGAGGGCATGGAATTCCACGGGTCCACTTGGAGCTAATGGCCCCTGAGAGGGGCCTCATGCTGCCCCAGCCCTCAGCCCCTGCCAGGAACGCAGCGGCCCCCAGGAGGCCCAGCAGAGGCCCCCGGCCTGGCCTCCCCAAGAGATCAGGGCCTGCCAAGCTCACCAGGCAAAGGCCCCACCCATCCTGTGCCACACACACACATGCACACATGTACAAAAAAACATGTTTGTGCACACACACATGCACACATATGACCATTCAATGGACCCTCAAGAGACACAATGGACCCCGGGGCAGGAGCTGAGTGGATTCTCTGTCCCTGCAGAGGGTCCATGTGGCCTAATATCCCCTCTTGCTGGCCAGAAAGAGGCTGCCCAGGAAAGTCCTTACCCACCAAGATCAGCCAGAGGCTCCAGAGAGGTCCTCATCAGGAAGAGGACAAGGCCAGCACTGAGTCATGCCCACTGGACCTGGCATAAGCCTGCCCCCAGATGCCCACCGGGAACTACAGAAGTCCCCCCATGCTGTGTGCCTCTGGGCCCCTGTCCTGAGCTCTCTGGGCCTTTTTAGTCACTAGCACAGTGTGAGAATTATGAACCCATCGCCAGGTAAGAACATACAGGACCCGAACCTTGTAATGCCAACATAACTGTCATAGAGACCAACAGGGCAGGAGTAGACATGTGTGCTGTACAGGTTTGAGCTAAGCCCGTTCTCTGCAGATTCAGTGGGATTCAATGTGCCTGCCTGGATCGAGCCAGCCCATGGGCCCACAGCCCCTGTCTACAGAGAAGCAGCCACGCTCTACCTCCAGGATCCCTGGACTTTCCTGGACAGAGCAGGAGACAGGCCACTGAGGGCGGTCAGCATGCAGCCCCTCCCTGCTGCTCCTGCTGTGCCCTCCGCCAAGCCCAGGAGCAGGGTCGCAGCCCTCCCAGCACCCACAGGGAGGAGGAGTTCCACCCTCAGGCAGCCAACACCTCACACCCGCCCGGTCACTTGTGCTCACTTTGGGAGGGGGGGCAGGAGCAGCTGGCCTGTCCCTCCATGGCAATACCCTGTCAGCAGGGTGTCCAGGAAGCTTGTGGTCCCTGAGGGTGGCTGGATGTTGGGGCATCATGGTGTGGTGCCCACGTCTACTCACCACCACCCCCAGAAGCCCTGGGCAGGGCAGCAAACGTGTGCACTGCTGCCGTGTCACGGAAGAGACTGCAGCCCAGCTGGAACCCATGTCTGTGAGTCACCCGTGGCCTGAATCCCTGCTTAGACACTGCCCAGCTCACCACCCCATACACCCCACAATATCTCCTCCCCAATCCCAGAGTCGGGTCTCATGAAAGGAGAAGGCTCGAGGACCCCTCTGTGTGATGGCCTCACACGGTGCCCTCAGCACAGGCCAACCCCCCGTGTCCATCCCCAGAGCAGCCTAGGAGGCACCCATCACCCACACAGTCAGTGACAGCTCTGAGGGGCCGAGCCGGGGTTCAGAGCCAGCCCAGGGTGGGCACTTTCTATGTGTTTTCTCCCTAAAACAGCTAAGCCCTCTAATCCATGTCAGGGCTCCAAGGGGCCTGGTGACCCTGTGCCTGCTTCAGTCCCCAGGATCCCCCCCTGGCCCACCTGGAGCCCAGGGCCCTGGGTCAGGTAGGCAGGAAAAGGTAGCCAGGGCCACTGGCCAAAGCCCTGGTGGACACATGTCAGAGGGGCCTGCGAGAGCCACAGGAAAGAGCTCTGACCTGGCCTTGGGAGGCCGTGTCCAAAATAGCCAGCCCCAGCACGGTGAGGGACTCAGCCGGGCGCACGTAGGCCTCTCGGCCCCGGCCACTGCCAAGCTGGCTGCAGAAGGTCACAGCTATTTCTGGGCCAGCCTGATGATGACACACAGCCCTGGAACCCCCAAAGATCCAGGGCACAGGGGCAGCTGAGGCGCACTGAGGAAAATATGCCCCCAAGACACGTGGTGGAGGGACCCAAGTGGCCGCAGGTTCCCCAAGGTGCCGAGAGCCTGCTGGGGGACCCTGCACAGCCGGCCTTTCCTCTCTGAGCCGCCTCCCTCTCAAAGAGCAGCCGTGAGTGGGTGAGTTTCACGTTCCTGCCACTGGCATTCATAGGCCACCAGGAGGTGCCAAGCCCTGTGCTGGGCACTCGGGTATACGAAGAACCAGACCTAGTCCCTGAGACTCAAAGAGGGGCTCGGCGAAGGCGCCTTTCCCCACCATCCTCAGCGGCTCTGGGCCTGAGCACGCAGGCAGGAGGGTCTGTCTGTTATATGGAGGCCACTGGGCACACACCACGAATGCGCCCATGCAGGCACCCACAGCAGCCCACACCCCCAGAGGTGCCAGCACTGGGCCCAGGGCTCCTTTTGCCCCATGGGTCAGGCCCTCCCCATAAGCTTGCAGGTACCAGTAACCATCTGACAATCGGGGAAAACGAGGCCCAGAGAGGATGTGAAACTCATCCCACGGCCCCATGGTAGAGCCTCAGTGCAAAGCCGAGGCCAGCATGGTCTCTGGGGGTCACAGAGGAGAAGATAGCTCCCTCTCATCACCCCAAGGCCCAGCTCATGTCTGCCTGAGTTGTGCTCAGCCTGTGGCCACTGTCTTCAGAGCCCACCCGGCACAGAGGGTCACCAGCTCGGGAATCTGGCCTGGTTCCCCTCCTGGCTCTCCCACTGAGAGCTGTGTGACCTTGGGCATGTCCCTCAACCTCTGTGTGCCTCAGTTTGCTCATCTGCAGGGTGGGTTCACTGGAAAGCTGTCCTTCACAGAGATGCCCTTGGTGCTCTCCTGTGATCCAGAGGGCCATTCCCCTTTCCAAGAGGCCTTGTCTGAGTCCCCAGAGCACTACTGAGAGGACACAGAGCTCCCTACACTCAGGCTTGTGCTATGTATGCCAGCACCCAGGAGGACAGTTCTCCAGCAGGATGCTTGGGACATCGGGGTTGTGTGGAGGAAGGCTTTCCTGCAGGACTTCTTAGAGCCCTCATTCCTCCACAGACACAGGACCATGGAGCAGAATGGGCATTTCAGAGTGCTGTGACACCAGGAACCAGCAATCAGGGTGCCTCACAGAACCCCACCTGGGCAACACCAGGCTGGGCCACCCCATGCCCCCGGTTTCCTGGCTCTGAGCATCGGAGAGCCTGGGCCTCCCCGACTCCTGCTCGTCTGTGTGGCTATG